TCAGTATCCCAGCCACATTTATTTAAGCACTGTATTGATACATACACTATAGTGTCGGGCTGGCTCAGTGGTAGCACTCTCGCCTCTGAGTCAGAGGTTGTGGGTTAAAGTCCACATAGTCCAAGCTCACACTCCAACGCGATGGAGTCCGCTGTTCAGGTGGATGATAAAGATCCCACAGCACTAACCGAAAAAAGAATGGAGTTTCTCCCGTTTTCCTGGCCAACAATTCCCCAAATCAAATTGGTCGCTCACTCCATGGCTATTTATGGGATATCTCTGCGCGTGACTAGCAGCTGCGTTTCATCCACAAAATACGTAGTCACCGCACTTTACAGTATATCCTGTGAAGGGCTTTGAGATGTCTCGACGACCTGAACTTGAGCACCACCTTGCAGTAGAAATGGTTATTTTATACCAACCTGTTGTGTTCAACATGCTAATAATAATAATCCTTTGCATTTGATCTACTGCCTATTGCGAATGTTGAAACACCTTGAAGCTCTTTGTAGGTAATTGCAATCTGTTAATTGTGAATAAGAGATGCAGAATTTTCTGAAGTGCCAAAACACAACAGACTGAAATTTGGCAAATATTGACAAGGATTGGCACTCTTTAATTCACACAGTCTCCAACCTTTGGATTTGGGGTTATTTAGTGAAACGTACAACAATAAAGATGTATTATTTATAATAAAGTTAAGAGCAGAAGAATTCTTCAATTTGCGCATAGAACCTAGAACCGTAAAAAAAAGACTGTTGACAGATAATGACTTCCCCGACCACTCCCACCACCACCTCCAATGCACGGCTAAAAAGAAAGAGTGGTGAGTTGGGCGTGTGTGTAAATACGGAAATAAATGTGCCCGGGATATTGACAGCACGATAACTTAAGTGGTCGTGACAAGTTAAGGCAGGGTCGAGTTATCGTGAGTTTGCTTCAGTAATAATCCTGTATTAAAAATCCTCACACTGGCTAATGCGACGTTCATGTCGGGAGAATTTATAGTGCATATAAAATATTAAATGCTTGTCACAAAGGAAAGTAAGGAGTAGCGCGGGATTAGCTTAGGTGACTCATGCGAAAGAAATCCGCCAAGGCAGGTATGATGGACTGTGAAGTAACTTTGTAGGATTCCATAAAATGATAATGTAAGGATGAGAAGGCTGTGAAGGCATGTTCTGTCATTAAAACATGCCTTAAAATAAACCTGTAACGGTGCTTACAATGGCTTCAATCATCCGATCTCCATTCACTATCTGCCACCTTGTTACTTTGGCAAAGTGAATTATCCCACTCAGGAGCCTGAGATGAAATCGTGCCCCAGATTAATGGGACGAAAAGCATCTCACTCTCCCCCCAGCTGTAAGAGTGCTTCACGTAATGAGGGTTGAATTACGAGGACAGGTTTCATAAACTTGGTCTCTACTCCCTTGAGTTTAAAGGTTGAGAGGTGATCCGATTGAGGTGTTTTAAAATAATAAAGGGATTCAATAGGGTAGATACAGAGAAACTATTTCTCCTAGTGGGGGGAAACCAGAACAAGGGGGCATAATCTTAAAATTAGAGCTTGGCCATATAGGAATGAAATCAGGAGGCAGTTTCTCAGTGGAAATCTGGAACTCTCTCCCCCAAAAGGCTGTAGATGCTGGATCCATTCACATTTTCAAGATGGAGGCGGATAGATATCAGTCAGGTCAGGGTATTAAGGGATATGGAGCAAGGGCGAGTAATTGGACTTGAGGTGCAGATCAGCCATGATCTTATAGAATAGCAGAACAGGCTCTAGGGGCTGAATAGCCTACTCCTGTTTCTATGTTTCCATGAAGCTGGGTTGTTTTCAACCACGTTCCCAGCTGGCGTAGGCTTACAGCACAAACCTGCCATTGCCCCAGTACCGAGTTGGTAATATCTGCTGGCTGGTGAGTGGAGGTAAGTGGAAAAAGTAGACTGTGGATTGACAGCATCATTTGCAGTAGAATTCTGCCTCGGTCACTGGGAGTAATCGTGTCGGTGTGTACCATTCCGACACTTTTGGTGGATCGCTGAGTATCTGGAGTGACACTAACCCACACTGAGCTGTCCCTACTTCCATTATGGACTGAAGTCACGTGTCCTGAGAGTGAGACGGTCCTTTAGAGAGCGAGAGAAAGAACTTGCTTCTTCACAGCATTTATGGCGTTGAAATGTCTCAAAGCACTTTACAGTAATCACTATCAAGTGCAATGAATGCTCTTTGGAGGCAAACACGGGCAGTCAATTTGCGCACAGTAACATCCTTCCACGGCGGGTGAGTGACCGATTATTCTGGAGGATTGCTGAGCATTACACCTGGAGAATATCACCAGGTTGTTAACAATGAGATTTCTCTCAAAGGACAGAAATCCACAGAGCAGTCCGCATTCTGCTATTACAACTCGTTATTTTTAGATTAGCAAAAATACCCACTGGGATTTTACATCACTCAATCTCCAGCATTCATCTGGTCCGGAAATGTCATCTGGTCCCAGCTGTTGATAGAATCATAGAATTATACAGCACAGAAGGAGGACATTCGGCCCATCGTGTCTGTGCCTGCTCTTTGCAAAGTGCTATCCAAATCAATCCCACTCCTCCACGCTCTCCCCGTAGCCCTGCAAACTTGTCCTCCCCAGTGTTGTACCATTTAAATTTAAGAAGATTGCCCCCACCCTTTGGAACTCTTTGCCTCACGACCTCCCTTGCCTCCTTGAAGCCCATTTCAAGATCCTCCTCTTCGACCGTGCCTTTGGCCACCCTCCTAGCCTTACCCTCCCTGCCCTCCATCCTACCTGGTCAGGGCCAAATCTCTGATTGTCCAGTGCCATGGGATGTCCTCCCGACGTTAAAAGGCACTATATAAATGTAATTTTGTTGTTGCAGGTCAGGTTTTTCTTAATACCCGCGGAGAAAACGGCTTCGAATTTGAGGCTGAATTGAAAAAATAATTCAGTTAGTTGTAATTTCTCTCCTACCTCTGCATGATCACTAGTTAAACCAATTTAACCCTTGATTTAAAAGTTAAAGGGCACTTTGCTGCCAGGAAGAGAAGCATCACTCTCAGGGTCACCACTGACTGAAAGCAATCAACGTCTTCAGCTGAAACTGTCTTTGAGAAGAGAACAGCACCATCTCGTGGCAAAAGCATCAATTGGACATTAAATCATTTGTGCCTGTTTAACCCCAGAATTTTTACCTCTAAAATTGTTCTGACGAAAGGTCATCGACCTGAAGTGTTAACTCACTTTCCTCTCTCCGTAGATGCTGCCTGACCTGCTGAGTGAGTCTTCCCAGCGACTTCTGTTTATATTTCAGATTTCCGGCATCTGCAGTATTTTACCTTTTGTTCTGTTCGATTGTGGCTGCCACGTTCGCCCGCAAAATACACAGTCACTACACTTGACAGCAAATCCCGTGAAGACATCGCCACCTGACATGAAAAGGCACCGGTCAAATGCAAGTTTTTTTATTATTATTATTATTTGTTTTCAATTATGCAGTTGACGCATTCCCCTTTCCCATTTTATCTCCCTCCTCGTTTCTGCCTTTACATTTTAGCTTAACGCACGACTCTGAAATTGTCAATTTACAAAGTCACGTCCAAACACCTCAAAGCGCTCGAAAGTGAATTTCTGTCAGGTATAAGCGACTGTGCGATTGCAGGCAAACGCAATTGCACACAGCAAGTTGCTACAAATAGCCGTGAGTTGAATGACCAATTGATCGAGTGGATTGTTGGCCAGGAATCCCTTCTCCGTTCAAATTAAGACTCTTTAACGTCCATGTGAACAGGCCTCGGTTTAACATCTCATCCACTGGATGGGTACATCAGGACTCACTGCCCTGACCTGGGAGTGTTTGATGCCGACAGTGAATGCAAAAATTTAAATGTGATCGCAATGCAAATTAAACGCAAATCAATTGGGGAAAGGAACAGGAGGGGAGTTGCATAAAACTGAAGTGCAGATTGGTTCCCTCGGGTCTAGAGCGAGTGGCAATAAATTCCGCGCTGTGGAGTTCAATTTTTGGCAATTAGCTCATTAATATCGCAAGGTACAGCAGATGAATATCAATGACGTCTCCTCGGCAGTCTGCTGTTGCGTGCAGCTGCTTGTTCTGGAGATTCTCTGATTATTTCTTCCTCTTCCTATTCAGGTCAGCCTGTTGCAGCTGCCGCTGTTCTGGTCCAAGTAGAGTTCAGCGAGGTCTGGCAATGTTTCATCTGGGAACTTCACCCATTGACGGTGAAGGTTTGACTGGTTGAATCCAGTGCTCTGATGCCCGCTGCACAGAGGAGCCCCGGGACCCACTTTGGTAACGATAATAAATCCTTGCATTTGATACAGCGCCTCATCAGCTCTTCGAGACGTCTCAAAGCGCTTCACAGAATATACCGTAAAGTGAATTGACCGCCAATTGCGCACAGCAGCGACCCACAAACAGTCGTGGATTGAGTTACTAATATATATTTTAAGGGATTATTACTCCCGGAAATGTGAGCGGCCAAGCGACTAACAACCGAGTTTCTACTTCCTGCTAGGTAAGCAGTAGCGAGTGTGTGGAGTGCGCGGAGTAAGGAAACTTGACCAACATTTCGCCCTGCCCGGGACTCAAACCCAGTCCTCTCGCTTGCGAGGCAAGTGCTCTAACCACTGAGCTACAGATCTCTACAGGATTGATAAAACTTGGAAACTTGTTCCTCCGCAACGTGCAATTAAGCAAAATCAATGAGGTTCAAGAGAGTTGGAACAGCAATTTAACGCGTGGAATACGATGGTGGTGCTGAGAGTCTGGGATCACTAACTCTAATCGCCGGTGATCAACTCGGCTGGTATATTGGATCAGTTTAATACGCTGGATGAGCTTTTGGATGAGACGTTAAACTGAGGTCCCGTCAGCGCCAGTTCAGGTGGATGTCCCAGATTGCCTGGGGCTGTTCGAAAAGAGAAGAGAGTTTCTCTCGACATCCTGGCCCACAACCGCCCCCACCCTCCTCCCCTTCCCCCACCTCACCAGATAGAATTGGTCGTTTACTTCACGGCTGCTGTCGGCTGTGCCAAATCGAATGGCACGTTCAACTGCAAAAATCCACGGTCACTACACTTCACACAAGATTCTGTGAGTTACTTTCAGTAACGACCGTCTCTTTAACATCCACCTGAACAGGGTGCAGACAAGACCTCAGTTTAACATCTCACCCAAGGGATGAGCGCCTGGATCGCGAGCTCAACATCCCCTGAGGTGGGGCTTTTACCCGCGGGGGGGGGAATGCTACCAACATAGCCAGGCTGACGCTCTGTGAACAATGCTTACCAACATTTGACACGGGGATCAAATCACACCTCTCCAACACCGAAAAAAAAGACTTTGCGTCCTTCTTTCGAAGAGATTCGCACAATGGACGCACCATTTTTTTTTTAATGCGATTGTCAGAGTGGCAGTTTATACTCTGTTTTAGATTCTCGAGGAGGGAGGTGGTGGCGGGTGGGGGTGGGGGGTGAAATTTGCGACGGTTCATAAACACGCGCCTTTTGTTGGTTAGCACGGGCTGTAAAATGGCACTAACTTCACCCCGTCTGCATAAACAAAGGACTAGTCAGTAAATCGCTGGCTCAGCTCGGCTAGTTGCTTGGTAAGCAGAGTGTGCGTCTCTCGTGCCGTCCGCAGCTGGCATTCAGTCAGACACACGAGGGCTTCTCTGTACTCCCGGACCCGATTCTGGTGATAATTCTGTATCTGTCAGAAACGGGAGATAAAACACGTGGCTTCACTTGGCTTTCAACGGTACTTCGGTCATCCTACCCTACCCCCACCCTCCCTGCCTGCCCACCCCTCCTGATACCAACTCCCAGCTCAGGTCCAACTCGTTGACTGTCCAGCGTCTTGAGATGTCCTGCATAGCGACCTGTCCGCTCTCTCCGCTCAGCGTGCTTCAGCTTGCTCCACGTTCCCCCACCCAGCATGGCCCGCCCCGCCATCGGCAGTCGGGCCTTCAGCCTTTGGAACTCCATCTCACAGTCCCCTTCGCCTCGCTCCCTCCATTGCGTGCTTCAAAGCCCGTATGAAGACCCTCCTCCTCGCCTGCGCCTTCAATCACTCTCCTACCTCTACCCTCCTTGCCCTCCACCCCTCCTGATCCCAAGCCCCTGCTCGGGTCCAAATCCCTGACCGACCAGCCCTTGGAATGTCCTCCCAATGTGAAAGGTGCTGTAAAAAAAATGTAGTTTTCTTGTTGTTGGTGTTGTATAAACTTCATAAATATGTAACGAGGCGCAGTATCAGAATTATTCCAGGAACTGCTAATTACAAAGCACCTACCTCTTTTTTAGCCATTTCGGAAATGTCTTCATATTCTCGTTCAACAATCCTTTTAACCTCTTCTGCCTGTGAAAACAATTTTTTTTAAAAATCTGATTCAAAGAACGTAATGTGCTGTATTTCGTGCAACAGACAAATTGGTTGTCGTAATATAACAATAAAATAATAATAATAATAATCGTTGCATTTGATGTAGCACCTTATCACGTCGTTGAAACGTCTCAGAGCTCTTCACGGGATGTACTGTAAAGTGGAGTGACTGTGGATGTTGTGGGCGAAACACGACAACCAATTGCACAACACTAACAGCCAAGGAGTGAGTGACCAATTTTATTTGGGGGGGGGGGGATTGTTGGCCGGGACACCGGGAGAGAGAAACTTCCTTTCCTGTGGCACTAGTGCCATGGGATCTTTACTGAACAGGCAGGTGGCGTGTTGCTGCAATAGACAAACCGAGCCTTACCTGTGCCTTTTTGTGATGCTTGGCTTTCTCCACGCATCGATTGGCATTTTCCACTTCAATCAGTTTGCACGTTCTCCTGAAGAGCATTTCCTGATAGGTTGAGAAAAATAAACCCAAACAGCGGTAGCAACAGAAGCCGAGCCGGTTACAAAGCTGTTAAATTAACCTTGCGGCGTTCCCAAATAGGGTCGATTTTGCCACTCGTCTAACAGCCGGGTTCCTATTTACTGCTGGGTATGTGGAGCAACAAAACTTTCCCAATGTTTCGCCCTGCCCGGAAATCAAACCCAGGTCCTCTCACTTACGGGATTCCATACTCTGAGAGCTGGCGCAGACTTGATTGGCCGAATGGCCTCCTTCCGTGCTGTAAGTTTCCATGATTCTATGAAAAACAGAACACGAACAACGGGGGGGGGGGAAAAAGAACACCTATTCACCTTCTCAGCATCCTGAAAGCGAGAGTACAGCTCCAGGTGACAGCCCAGTGTATTCATGTTATTCTTTGCCACACGTTCAAAGTTTCTCTGTAATAATATAAGTATTTAGAGTAACTTCACCCGCTCAGTTTTCAGGGGCTGGGACAATACGCAGGCATCCCTTGTCCTTGCTAGTTACTTGTAAGCCATGAGTATCAAATCCCACAATATTATACCGTTAAACGATCGTACTTTCCTCAGCTGTTCACTTTGGTTCAATGAGATATGATATTAACTTCATTGTGGGTCATATATCTTAACCTTTGTTGCCATTCTCAAACAGATTCAACCTCCACATTGCTTTGTAGAACAAGCTACCTCTCTATTTTCAACTGAGGGTCCATTACCTTTAATGTATCGATAGCTTCTGAGAGCTTGATGCACATTCTGCAAGAAGATAGAAATCAAACGTTACGTCGGGAGGCGGAAGTCCAGTTTCATTTCGGATTATAACAAAGATGCAATACTGTATTTAATCAAATCTCATCCCATTAAATAGAAATAACATTCATCCGGTTGTAGTCCACAAAACACACAGTCAATTAACTTTACAGTATATTCTGTGAAACACTTTGAGACGTCTCGAAGAGGTGAGAAGGCGCTATATCAAATGTAAGACTTATTATTATTATTGTGTGTTATCAAGTAAGAGCTGTCCAGGGGATGGAAATGGATGAGATAAATGCAATGTAAAGTGAAAACCTTGCAATTCCTAGTCTCGAATGGCTTAACAGAAGTCGAGTGGGAAGTATCCCTGATCCCCCAATGACTGATCAGCCGCTTGCAAATATGAGCCCCTCAAAATGGTCTCTTCTGTGAAGAAGATTCATTTCTGTGCAGAATATGTTCAGTATTAAAAAAATCTATTACTTTGTTTTGATTAATTTAATTCCCTTTTCAATTTTCAAGGATCTCGCAGAGGTTGGGCTGGGACAAGATGCCCTGGGAAAGGATCTCAGAGTCCTTGGAGCACTAAGACGTATACCATGGGCTGCAAAGCGTAACAAATGCAACTTTATTGAGGCAGAGGAATAGAGAGGTATAGGAGAGGGGTATAGGAGAGTTTGTGTGGAGCATAAACATTAGCATGGACTAGTTGGGTTGAATGGCATGTTCCTGTGCTGTGTAACGCTATGTAAACCCATGTAAGCATCACATATGAAGGAGTAGGCTTGACCTTTTCTTACTTTGTTACAGCATAATCATTCGGATCAGCTTCGTGTCCACTTCCAATATGCAGCGCAGTGGAGAAGTGACCACAAGCCACGGCCATTCCTAGTCAAGGAGATGAAAGGTGTGATATGGTTACGCTATGACATTTAACGATGGAAGCACCAAATCAGCGTGGAATTAACCTCGTTGCTGTTTTTTTTAACCACTGTTTCAACCTTGAAGATTGAACAAAAAACACCTTGAAGAACTCACCACATTGTAGTGATTTCTAAATGTTATTTCCGAATTAGGTAAATTTGGCATGGGCCACACCTACTTGCAGAATTTGGCTCCATAATTTTTTTTCAAGCCTCAGTTAATAATATGGCAACAGGAAAAAAGACCTTGTGCAACAATGAGGTGTAAAACCATGATGTTCACAATCCAAATAGCAAGTAGATCACACGGCAGTGAGAAGCTTTCCAGTTATTTGCCACTCCGATTCTGGGTGCCACATCTCCGAGTCTCAGCCTTCTTCCAAACTCAAGTCATCTTAAACGTGATCTCGGTGACTTACTCTGCTCAGAATGGATCATCTCTAGACATTTCTACGGAAGATCAAAAGCACTCAGATTAACCAACAATGGCAATAATCCAAAATTAACAGGTCATAAATGGGCTTCCAAATCACGTAAAACAGGATCATTAATACAGAAATGTACAGCAATAGATTTGGTGTTTTTTTTGAATTCCATGACTGCAAGGCCATGATGATGATACAGTACAATTTACATTTATTGTACTGCGTCTTTCACTTTGGGAGGACGTCTCAAAGTGCTTGATATTGGCTGGGCCCCAGAGCGGGTGGGGTGGGGGGGGGGTGTGGGCTGGGGTCTGAGGTCATGGAGCTGGTGAGTGAAGAGATGGCTGTAAATGCGGTCAAAGAAATACATCTTGAGGTGATGATTATGACATTGGCGTAAGTCTGCATATTACCTTCATTCTGGCACAAAATGGACTGGACTTAAAATGTCACTGGGGTTTATTCAAAGGCTAAAAGGTTTGGGTTACCTGTAACCTCAGTGGTCATAACTCTTAATGTCTCGAGTGCCACCTGTCTTATCTGTGTGAGTTCTGCAGATTAATAGCATTGCTTTTTATTTGCACGCGATGTTAAGATCTCATCTCATCTCCTAAGGCAGTGTAGTTGCTCTTAAAACGCTAAGTGCTGCATACATCTAACTAATCTGCCACGAAGAACACATATGATCGGAATGATTGTACCGCGTTCACTTGAAGCAAATATCATAGCCAGTTACCTCCGTTAGAGATTTGGTGAATGCGGTCAGCACGTAATTGCTTTCCCTTTCTGCCTGAAAGTAATCGTCAATGTCCTGAAAGTAAATGCATATCAATGAAACTTTTTTTTTTGTTCATCGATTTCTTTCCACGCAGAAAATGTAAAGAAACGAATTAAATGGACGCAATGTGTAAGAGCTCGTGATGTCACAGCGAAAGGTTGCTCTTCGCGAGCTGTTAGCTTTAGCTGCTCCAACTGAGGCCGCGATCTAATGGATTGTAAAAGAATATTGCAGCGATTGAGAGGATGGAGAGGAAGGCAACCAAAATGATTGAGGGGATGGAAGGACTGAACTACGAGGAGCGATTATAAACTGGACGTGTTCACACTGGAGAAGAGAAGATTGTCGGGCGATATGATTACTGTCTTTCCTAACTTAACAATAATGTAATAACCCTTACATTTTGACATGGAGCCTTTCATGTTGGGAGGATGTCTCAAAAGCGCTTCACAGCGTATGCTGTCAATTGTAGTGACTGCGGATTTTGTCGGCAAAATACCTTGTGATGTTCTTTGAGTATCTCTTCCACAACCTGCGTCAGCTTATTGAAGATCCCCTTCCTCGGTTTGCCTTTCATAGGAGGCTGTTAAAGAATGAGAGAACAGGTGGAATATGATGGAAAAGCAGTTGCCTTGTGCGGGGGTAGAACAAGGGATTTTTTTCCAGCAGCCCCTCAATTATGGCTCAGATTGAGTTGCTCTTAAGTTGACACATGTTGAGATGTTCCTTCTCACCTCTTTCTTTGTCAGGAAGTTCAGGAGAGTGGGATTCTTCCTAAGAATGGGATGAACATTCACCTGCTGAAGGTATTTCTCCAGTGCGTAGCAGTATTTATGCCAGTCATCTCCCATAAGACTTTGTGATCTGATCCCTTAAACCAGCAAAAAAAAATCAACATATCATTTCCAAAACTTGAAACAAAACTTGTTCGTACTCTGCTACAGCCTCGATCTTTCTTGTACAAACCACATTGATCTTTAAAACAAGGAGACACACACAGATGAAGGGTTATTTTAAAGTTAGGCTGTGGTCGCAGAACTAGGGGACGTGAGAAAAGTTGCAAGGCAGACGGGAGATTGCAAGATCCTTGTTCTCCACGGAGCAGTGGACATGTGGACAGTCTCAGCCTTTCGCACTGACTCACGGGAACTTAGCTCCAACGCAATCTCTATACGGGTTGGGAGGGGAGAGGAGTGGTGCTTTGGAACAGTGCTCCCGCAGCTCGACGTGAAACATACCCCATTAATACCAGAAATTGCCACTTGAAACTCAGAGTAAAGACAGAGATACTCCTTGGCCCTCAAAGCTAATCAAGGGAAATCTTCAGAACAACGATGCACACGTCTCCATCCCTAAACTGTAAGATTCTGTAATTAATGTGTTAAATAATATCTCAAATTATATTTGCGATGTTTATACTTTTTGAGACATATGATTAATCTCATATGAGGGGAGGTGGTTGTGACGAGCTTCGTGGAAAATCCTTTCTCATGGAGGAGAAACGAAAGACTGTTTATAAACAACAAACTGTTTTCATTCCTTAGCAGTCATTTTCTCATGGAAAAATGGTCTGCGGCTGGAGAGAGCTCTGTTGCGTTTGTTTTTACAAAGGAACCATCTTGCAAAAAAGACAATAGGTGAAGGGTCACCAATTCAACGGTATAAACATAGATCGATTTGAAGAAAGAATAGAAGAAGGAGACTGATGAAATTGGACTTTCCATAATAAAGTTGGACGTGCCATAATACCTGGATACGTTTGGGTGATGGAACTGAGAAACGTACAACAATACCTGGATGCCTTTTTATGGACGTATATATTTGGATGAAAAAGGACACATTAAAATGGACATTAAATTGAACATTGCTCCTCTATCTCTTCCACGGTATTTGGTTAGATCAACTTAAACTGCTGTGAACTATACATCGATACGTAAGCAGTATTGTGATGTATTATTTTAATTAATTAATTAATTACAGTCGTTACTTCACCGCAGTCACAAATATAAATTAACGCTTACAAAACTTTAGCGTACATCCGCCAGCACACCCTTCCCCATATCCCCATCAACAACACCAGTAACCTCATCCCATGTGGAAGTTCAATTAATATCATCTGTATGCGTCCCTTTAACCTCCAGACTCCTCCTCCTGTTAGATGTAGACCAGTTCTGCAGATCTCCTTTGCCAGCACGTGACGTAGGACATCAGCCGTAATTTTCCACCTCTGACAAAAAGCTCAGCACATTAGTCAAACTTCAAGCTCAGGATCCAACAACTTACCCAAATATTTCTTGGCCTTTGCTTCAGCGTTGGCTACAGTGGTCCCTGGCTTCACGGGAATTGGAGGAAACTGAACACAAAGTTAGTAACCAGGACAGGAGTACAGTATATTAATTCATTCAAATAAAAATTTAAAATGCATGCGTAGAAGGAAATGGAAGAGCAAATGAGTAGTTCTTACAAGGAGTTTTTTTTTCATTTGGTCTATTTCCAGTGGGTTTGCAATAAACCGGAGAAAACTTTTTAGGGTTTTGAACATGTAATGAGGCACTGTACTTACAATGATCCCTGAAAGTCCCGGGATACCTTCTTGGGTCAGGAGAGTGTGCTGCAGCCATTGGAAATCCTCAAACGGATGCTGCACCTCATATTCCACCTTATCGGAGACCTGGAGATCGAAAAGTTTTCAGCCTGGTCATAAAATTCCTTCAGCCACCGTTTTGGACAGCAATGTGTTAGCGTCCACATAATATACAGTCAATTCACTTTGCAGTATATTCTGTGAAGCTCGTTGAGAGGTCTCAAAGACGTGACAAGGCGCTATATCAATGCAAGGTACGGTATTATACAGTACAGTATTAGTATTATTGTTAGCAGTTGTGGAGTCCTGTAGTTCAATGGTTAGAACAAGCGAGAGACCTGGGTTTGATTCCCGGCAGGGCAAAATAATGTTTACGAAGTTGTAAGTAGGAACTGGCTTATTAGTCCATTAGCGAATCGCTTCTCTGGGGTAATTAAAAAAAAATTGGTCACTTCAATCCACGAGTGTTTGTGGGATGCTGCTGTGCGCAATTGGCTGCCGCGTTTCGCCCACAAAATGTACAGTCAATTTATCTTACAGCATATTCTGTGAAGCGCTTTGAGACGTCCCAAAGACGTGATGAGGCGCTGTATCAAATGTAAGGATGATTATTATTAGTTGTCATCTCAGACCGCACGAACCAACCTGGGTGGACTTCACCAAGTAGGTCAGACTGTCTCCGTCTTTTATAGCATGTGTGATGTTCACCGTGAAAACCGGATCGGTGTGACTCTGAGCTCCCGCTGCCTCATCACTTTCCTGAAAGCAAGGATACACCTTTAACACACAGGCACTCGCAAGCAAACGCGCGACAAGACCAACAGAATGCTGGTGCAGCACAATACCAAATCATTAACTGAAGCACAGGGTCAGGGTCATAACGTCAACAATCATGTGAGGAACTGGCATGATGTTTGATGTTGAAGCTTATATCCAAGTGTGTCATACGTACCACAATTTTTACGTTCACAATCTTTAATAATAATAATAATAAACCTGGCAATTCATATGGCACCTTATCATGTCTTTGATGCGTCTCAAAGCGCTTCACACAAGATACCGTAAAGTGAATTGACTGTATATTTTGTGGGCGAAACGCAGCAACCAATTGCACACAGCAGCGTCCCACAAAGAGTCATGGATTGAGTGACTTGTTTATTTGTTTGTTTATTTATTTATTTATTTGAAGAGATTATTACCCCCGGAAAAGCGATCTGCCAATTGACTAACAACTGGGTTCCTACTTACTGTTAGGTAAACAGGTTTGTAAACAGGAGTAAGGAAACTTGCCTAACATTTCACCCTGCCCGGGAATCGAACCTGGACCACTGAGCTACAGGACTCTTTGTTCCTGAGTTGATCTCAAAGGTAATTTTATTGCTCAGACGCAAGTTCGGAAATCTGGATGAATGAGTATTCTAGGATGCACTTACAGAAGATATAGTTTATTTTTTACGCTACCCCAAGGTTTCTTCGCTGCTGAGTGGTTTCAATTCAAAAATCACACTCACCTGTCTTGCCTTTGCACTGTGATTTTTTAAATTTCAGCGCTGGAATTTCTGTGCATGATACATTCTGGTAAACAAAGGCAAAGAAATGTTGTCTGCGAAACATCAGCTGATAATTCAGCTGTACTGCACAGAGAACTTGCTTTGAAGCTGAAATAACTCCGTGCTAATGTTAATCATTGCCATACAATATGGACAACTGTCCAATGTTGTCCAACCTCTGACCACAGAGATACACTTCTGTGCACATAGTTAAGTTTTTACTGGGCTCAACCCTACACTTTCCACATTCTGTTCATTTTGCAAGACTCCTACTTCAGTTATGGTTTGTAAACAGGACATATAGTATCAGCAGGGGCGTGAGCCAAATGTACAGAGCACTTCAGAAAGGCATTGGGTAACCTTAGCGTTTATATGACGTCAAATACCTTCATGCCCTGGCACCTCCCTACCTCTCCGACCTGCTTACTCCCCAACCCACTACCTCCCGCCTCCCCTCGAATGGCTCCGGCCTCCTGCTTCTCCCTCGTCCCCTCCATTCCACCATTGGCGGCAGTGCCTTCAGCCACTCTGATCGAAACTCTGGGACACTCTTCCTTTACCCCTCCGCCTTCCTCTATCCCTCTTCTTCTTCGACCATGCCTACGGACACCTCCCCCCCTCCTCCCGGCTCAGCGTCATGCTCTGCCACTGTCAAGCGCTCCCAAGACGTTGCCCTGCTTGAAGGGCGCTATATAAATGCAAGTTGTTGTTGTTGTTATATGTGTTGTCTTTGGTGCTGAGCCCTAAGCAAACCAATGAAAACAAACAGATTCTGCGATCTTTCGAATCTTTAAGTGTTACTCCGGAATCAGATTTCAATGCAGTGCGCACAAGATGCTCACATCTCCTGAGAGCGCGGTGCCTAACGCTGGAGCTACTGGGTCTTTCCACGGTGAGATACAACTGTCAACGACAATTAGAGTTCAAAGACTCATTGCTGTCTCCTCTCCTTGGTCCCAACAATGCAGAAAACCCAGCAGAGCTTCACTGCGCAAAGCAAAAACAACACGTCTTCTTTACAGGATTGAATTGGCTTGAAAGAATACTTCAATGACACAGAAAGCAACTCTAAAGAACCCTGAGAAAAATGCTAAGGAATAAAAAGGAACCCCCAAAACACTCACCATTGTCGTTCTGTTTCTTGGGAAGAGTTTTATCTCTGAACCAAGCTTTGTGTTTAAGAATGCTAATCAGTGCCTTCCGTGCATATGATCTTTATTAAACCGACAGGGACGACGCAGTTGCACACAATGGGAAAACACTTCTGATAGTCAAGCCGGGCTGGAGAATGTGGCATTCTGCCACGCGGGGTCGAAGTGCAGGACAAGTCAGTGGAGCTCAAAGTGCTGAACTAATGCAGTCAGACGGGTGCAATGAGAAAATCATGACCGGTTACCATATAACTAAATAGACATGAATTACAGCTTGTTACAAACAGGATTAACATCCCCGCAAAACTGGATTACACTGTCCACCCGCCCAGAGCCATTAAAGCCTGCATCAGCAAACTGAGAGGAGGGCAGCATTCTTTGTCCAGGGTCATTGAGTGAAACGGATGTCTGAGACCGATTTTTTTTTGTTTGTGGGAATTTGGACCAATTTGTTTTTGCATTTGTCTGAATGAGTGCTCTGTGCAAAGATTTGCTCCCTCTGCTTCATCCACAAGGGGGCTATCTATCTTGGATTCAAAGATGATGATGATGTGTATCTGCCACTGAGCAACAACTTGGGTTATTACAGAGCCGTTCGCCCAGGTAGCGTCTCAGAGCGCCTCACGGCCGTGTGATTCGACAGGAGCTGGAAAGAGAAGGGAGGTGACCGAAGGTACGTTCAAAGACGAAAGCCTTCAGGTGTGATTTAAAGATGGGCAAAGAGGGGGGCAAAACAGATTGAGGCGTGGAGTTCCAGAGATTTGGGGCATATTGGCTCATGACATTGAAATTGAGTAGAAAGGTCACTTGCTATAGTTGTCTTATTGACTGCACGGCTACGGAAATTAGCTGACAACAGAAACTATTTCACTACATTCTCCTGGGAAGGTTTGGGGGAGACGGTTTCCACAACCATTTTCTGAACAAGCAGCTCCTGAGTATTTGAATACCCTTTTTCCTGCTTCTGATGGCTTTGAGCTCACCGTCTAGAGCACGACCCGCGGTGCAGTGCTGACCTCAATGTAAAGATGATTACCATTATTATCAATCCCCGACTGTTTGTTGGACGCTGCTGTGCGCGATTGGCTGCCGCGTTATACCCACGCAATCTAATAGCTGTACGTGTCCCTTTAACCTCCAGACTCATCCTCCCATCAAGACATTTCGCCCACAAAATATACAGCCAATTCACTTTACAGTCTATTCTGTGAAGCGCTTTGGGACGTCCTCCCAACGTGAAAAGCGCTGTATCAAATGCAAGGATTATTATTATTAAAATATACAGCCAATTCATTCGACGGTATATCCCTGCGAAGCGCTTTTGAGACGCCTGGACGGCGTGATGAGGCGCTGCATCAAATGCGAGGATTATTGTTATATTAATAGATTATTATTATACATATGTGCAGACATATAAAAGGGCGATTATCGTTATGATTGGTATAAAGTCTCAGCCTTTAATTTGCATTTCGCGGGGGGGGGGGGGCGGCGCTCCGAGAGAGCCGAAGGCTGCGGCGGCGCAGTGCGGGTGGGTGGGGACTGGATGCAGCGGTGGCGGAGGCTGCGTTGCCTGGAGGGGCTTCACTTGTGGGCAGAGGGATGGGATGGGATGGGATGGACCAGCTGGTGGGTGGATGCCTGGTTGGCAGAGTGGCTCGTTCTGCGCCTGCGCGGCTGGGGCTGGGGCTGGGGGGGGGGCCGGGGGGAGGGGGGGCGTGGTTAGGTGAGAAGGGTGAGGTCAGAAGCCCCGCCCTCCGCCCCCACTTGCCCTCACCCTCCCCACAATGCACTGCGATAAACAACCAAGATGGCGGAGGACGAAGGCGGCGGCGGGGAGCCGGACAATCGGTTACTCGAGGCTGTGCTGGGTAATGGCAACGGCGGGGGCGGCCGGGGAGGGCGTGTGTGAGAGAGAGAGAGAGAGAGAGGGAGGGGGAAGGAAGGAAGGAAAGTAAGAAAGAAGCGAGAACATGCGCCGTCAGGGTCCCCGGGCCCAGGCGCCGGGAAACCACGGGGACAGGCGGGAGGCCTAGAGGGGAAAGTGCGTCAGTCAGTCAGTGAGAGGGGGAGAGGCCGCTCCCGTCTGTCTGTCTGTCTCTCTGTCTCTCTGTCTGTCTGTCTGTCTGTCTGTCTCTCTGTCTGTCTGTCTCTCTGTCTGTCTGTCTCTCTGTCTGTCTGTCTGTCTGTCTCTCTGTCTGTCTGTCTCTCTGTCTGTCTGCACCTGACGCCCAACAACAACGACAATAATAATATAGTGTATAATAATAAATATAATATATGGAACGTAACAATAATAAATCTAATAATAGTCTATAGAATATTATAATAACATAATATATAGTATGTAATAATAGTACATCTAATGATAGTCTATAGTATATAATAATAACATAATATATTGTATGTAATAATACATCTAAAGATAGTCTATAGTATATAATAATAACATAATATATAGTATGTAATAATAATACATCTAATAATAGTCTATAGTATATATAATAACATAATATGTAGTATGTAATAATAATAAATCTAATAATACTCTGTAGTATATAATGACATAATAATCTATAGTATATAATAATAACAATATATGGTATATAATAACATAATATATAGTATATAATAACAATATATAGTGTATAATGATAACATAATCTATATGTAATAATAAGTCTAATTATAATCTATAGTATATAATACTAACATAATAATATATAGTATATAATAATAAATATAAGAATATATAGTATGTTATAATAACAAGTCTAATAATAATCTATAGTATATAACAATAATATAATAATATACGGTATATGATAATAAATATAATAATATATACTAATAACATTAATAATCTTTGCATTGGATATAGCGCCTCATCCCGCCTTCCAAAGCGCTTCACGGCATATTTACGGCCAAGTGGACCCGCCTGCGTATTTTGTGGGCGAAACGCAGCAGCCAATGATTATTATTGATTTATTTACTTATTTATTTATTTTTAAAAATTCTTTCTCTCGCCGGCCGGACGCCGACTTGGGCTGTAATGTAACTACGCAGAAGCGGGAATGGGCTTTATCAGATTTATTGCTATAAACCGATGCTGGGTTTTTTTTTTGTGTTATTTCTGTGATGAAATTGTGTGGGTCAATCCAAGGTGGATTGGTTGAAATAACCCAACAGACCAAATAGTCAACAATAACAACAACAACAACATTGTGCGCTCATATAGCGCCCTCCATGCAGGGTAGCGTCTCAGAGCGCTTAACAGCCTGACTCCGAGCCGGTAGCGGGGTGGGGTGTGGAGGTTGGTGGCCGTAAGCACAGTCGCAGAGGAAGGTTTTCAGGTGGGACTTGGAAAAAAAGGAGAGAGAGGGTGGCAAGGTGGAGCGATTGAGGGAGAGTGTTCCAGAGTTTCGGGGAGTAGTGGGTGAAAGCATGAGCTCCGATGGTACTGGCTACTTAGGAAGCCTTTTGAAACTCTCATGATTTTTCATTTTGAAAACTGCCACGGTCAGTGCCGATCGCTGAATGTTTGTAGCTGTTGTGTTGCTGATTGTGTTTGAGAAATTATTTGTGAGGATCAAAGGGATTTAAACATGATGCAGAATACTTACTTGAAGGAATGTGAAATAGCTGTGCACTGAGTAGCCATTAGATGGAGCTGAAGTGCTTTTGTAAGATTATTCAAAAGAAATACTGGAACTTTTATTCAGAAAAGCTCACACCCTGAGTATCTATCTAATGGTTGTGACTCAAGAAATATTAGATTCAGCATTACTCAGTGGTGTGTCTTCTACCTGTAATTTTGTATTTTCTGTCTAGGTTGTATATTATGTTTTGTTCACCTCAGCCTTCCGTGCAGATATATTTTCTCTGCGCGGTCCTTTCAGTTATAAATACTTCCTCTTTGCATTTTTTGGAAATAGGATACCTCTCTTTCTTAAGTGCAATATAAATGTAAATTATACAGCACTCGCTGTACGTGTTGCAGCTACGCTTGCAACCCAAGGATCCAATATGGAATGTAGATTTCAGTCACCCCACTCTCAAACCATTTAACACGCCACAAGCAATGTGTTTAAGCAAAACTGCCATACATGTGATGAGCTTGTTTAGATCATAGCTCATCAACAATAGGAGATTTCCCCCGCCAAGAAAATATGCTCATGGCACTCCCCCATGCAAGACCTTTCCGATTAGGTGTAAATCGCGTCTCTACTTCAATCGGTTATTGCGCTCTTGATGGACTTTTTTTTATTTGTATAGTTGTATTCGCCCCCCCCCCCTCCTATTTTTTACCCAGACTCAATAGACACATCCATATAAATACATTTTTGATACAATACAAACAAATCTCTGGTGTCAAAGTCTCTTGCTGGGAAATTAATAGTGGAGAAAATGTTCCTTAAATGGGTGGTGCTCAAACAATTCTACTCTATCTTGCATCAAAGAATCCCAGTTGATATTTACTGGAAAATCAAGTTCTAAATCTATCAATTGTGGACTTTGCTGTTTTATCCAAGGTTGCAGCTCACACTTTTCACCTGTACATTGGCCTAATGGATACTAATCTATTTTGTCTTGTGTAATGATAAGACTAATCCGTGCATTGGATATAGTGCCTCATCACTGAGCTGAAACATCTCAAAGCACTTCACAGGATATACTGAAAACATATACAGGATGACTGATTATTTTGTAAATAATGTCCAGTAAAATGAGCCCAGTTATTGAGCTGGGTAGTATTGAAACCCTTAGGATTGTCCAGACCAATTTTACATTTGGTTGTACTTTATTTGTTGTTATACTCTAAAGCTTAAAAACATCCTTTCTTGCCTTCATTAGATGATGACGAAGAAGATGAAGATGAGTTTGTCATGGAAGAGGAGGTCAATGACAGTGAAGAGGTTGAAAAACCGAGCAACATTAATTTTGATCCCAGTCTACCAACCTCACACTCTGTAAGTACAGAAGCAATAAAATGTTAGAACTGCAACATACAACAGCACAACAACAAATTGCATTTATGTAGTGCCTTTCACATCGGATGGATGTCCCAAGATGCTGGACAATCAAGGGTTTGCACTCGAGCTGGGGACTGGATACAAGAAGGGTGGGACCACTGAGGGGAAAAATTGAAGTGTAGGGGAGACATTGAGTGCAATAAAGCCATAATAATAATAATCCTCCCATCATAATTGCAATCATTCTTGTCTTTGTAAAAAATTCACCCATAATCTCTATGTCTGCATCATCCAATATATGGCTGCAACGTATTCAAAGGATTTTTAATAACTAGGAATGTAAATTTACACTTAATTTATTTTTTGTCTATCGTCATTTTATCTTTTTTTCCAGTACCTGGGGACAGATATGGAAGAGTTCCACGGCCGGACCGTGCATGATGAAGATAGTTTCCTCAATGTCCCAGTCCTCACTAATATTCCAGTTATACTTATTCCTGGACAGACCTTACCGCTCCAGCTATTTCGTCCTCATGAAGTCTCCATGATGCGAAACTTAATTCAAAAGGATCGGACATTCGGTGTTCTTGCCTACAGGTTAATTTCTTCTTCAACATTCAGTAAGCTTTAAAAGCTGCCTATTATCCCTGAGGGAAATGAATGAATTGAAAGTTGCATTTTATTAGTGAACTGGATAAAGTATATCACAGCCTAAACTGGAATGATATGCTTGTACTGGGTGCAGTAGTTGAAATATCTTACAGCTATTCCCCTGATGACTGAGTGAGTGAAAGGAAGTGCAGCATTTGGCCGCCTAGACTGGAAAGCTGCAAGTTTGAATCGTGGTCTGGGTTGTATGAGCTGATCATAGTTTGGGCAACAGTTGAAATTGGTTTCAACATTTCTGAATAAGTAATGGGAACATTTGCCGGGTTCCTTCCGCTCCTGACTTTGCTAGGTGATGACCTTGCAGTTCAATATTCTTTATGTTAACGCTCATCCTTGGAACGTGGGACTTGGAAGAGATACTGGAGAGACATTTGTAGGTGCTGACTAGGCGCTAAAAGGAGTATAAATGTAAATTATATATTTACGGTACAACAATTCTTGGTTACTGGGACGAGAATAGACAGAAAGTATTTAAAAATACTTTAAAGAGCCAATATTTTTTTTAAAAAGCATAGTTTTGACTCAATTGGCCTCCGGCACCTTGTCCCAAGTGTCAATTGCAGTAGTATTTACCAGCATTGCAAGGTCAAAGATATGTTTTTTGAGGTAAATTGGTTGAGTGAAACAGCTTTCACCTAAGATCACTCTCGTAGCCTCCACAATCGTATCATTATTTGCAAACATAGTAGCATTCTCTGAGAGGGATTTCATTAGATAGAGCAACTGCAGAATTATCCAAAAGGAGACTAGGGTGTAAATCTGTACATCCTGAAATTGGTTTCACAGATTTTAATGAGATCTCAATGCAAACAATCCTTTACTGTTTATGAGCCTTTTAATTTTATACTACATCTGATCCACACACAAGCCTTTGATCTGTATATTTTTACTCTTTGGATTTTAACTTTGCATTCCATGTGTACAGCCCAATGTGCATATCACTAAAATGTGTCTGGTTGCTGCAATGCAATATTCGTAATGTTTTTATTGAATTTCTCTGTAAAAGGTTGGAGTTTAGAATTAAATTTTTAAGGCCTTTGAATTGCTTGGAGACTTGTTTACAACAGAGAGCTGAGAGAGCCAAAATAACCACAATAAAATTGCCCACAGAAAGTGTTTCTATTTCTATTTCATTCGTTCAAATTGAAGCTATCACACTTTTTCAATCTTGTTTTGATAATGTGCTGTGCAGTAAAAGCTGCATTTATTAACTATGCATCTGCACTCATAATGTCAATTACCTTTTCAATGGATTCTACATAAGGTATTTAAGTATACCTTTCCATAGATGATATTAGTCATCCTAAAATTATAACCTTCCATTCAGTACATCTGTTGGGCCTTAGCATTAAGAGCAGTTTATTATGGCTAGTGACAAGGAATGTATAATAGATGCATCCCAAAAGCAGATCTGTGTAAATTAATTCAGATATTTTGATTTGAATGGTGTAAAAATGCAAAAAAATACATTAAATGTTTAGATTGTTCATAAATTGTAATTGAGTGTTATTATAATCCTTGAGTCTGCATTATAGTGACTTGAGCAATTAATGTGCTTGCCTCAGCCTATTCAAAAGCTGAATGAAGAATTTCTTCGGATACAATAAAACTCACATAAGTTGAATCAGTCGGGACCATTTAATGTGACTGCCGTGAAGTCTTGAGTTTCAGGCAAACAGTATAAGACATATAAAATCCAATGTAATCACTAATCTACACTGCGCGTGCTAAAGAAAGTGCGTATGTGGACAAGTCAAGACTGTATTTTCTGCGATTCAGTGCAGTTAGTGCTCATGCGGCGACAGGTCAGGACCTCATTTCCTGTGATTCAATGCAGCTGGCAAATGCTGGAGTAATAATAATAATCCTTGCATTTGATATAGCGCTTTTCACGTCTTCTAGACGTCTCAAAGCGCTTCATAGAATTGACTGTAAAGTGAATTGACTGTATATTTTTGGACAAAAATCCGGCAGCTAATTGCGCACAGCAGCGTTCCACAAACAGCAATGGAGTGTAGGGGAGTGGTGCTATGAGTTAGGAGATGATTTAATACAATACAATACAATTCGTGCAAAGAAATCTTTTAAGTGATTTTGATAGGAAACTGATGAGACTCGGGTGCATGTATGACTTAGGGATTAATCGATTTATAAAGATGAGACTAGTGCGAGTTTTGCTGTATATATAAACGATTATTTGAATTTATAACCTGAAATGGCTTAGTTTTAAGGCGCGTATCTCTTATTCTAAATCTTTACCTCGTTTCATAGATTGTTAACTCGCTGTTCAAGCTGCATGTGTTTGAACAGTCACTGATGTAAAGTTTAAAGCAATTTTTTTCTTATAAAGGTATGATTTGTGGTCTCTACAAAAGTATTACAAACTCTGCAGTTTTCCAGATATTGAAGATTGTATATGTACATGGCAATGTGGACTCTGGTGCCTACCTAGTCTTTATTGATCTTACATCCACTTCTTCTTTCTCTAGTGATTCTGCTGACAGATCGTCAAAATTCGGAACCACGGCAGAGATTTATGAATTCAGAGAGGAACAGGAATACGGTATTGAAACAGTAAAGGTGAAAGCCATTGGACGTCAAAGGTTTAAGGTTATCGAAACAAGGACTCAGACCGATGGGTAAGATGCTGGTTGTAATTTCTGAAAAATCCCATCTGAGGGGAAATTCCACCCGTGTCTAGTTTTTCTCTTATTTATTGTAGGATTTTAGAGCAACCAGAATTAGGCGAATTGTTGAATTTAATCGTAGCCTTGAAGTGGGTTTTATGAAGTTCTTAAAATAATCCTAACAGAAAACCGGCTTTAAAATGAAGGCTGCATTTAAGAATTTGTCACTTTCTGGATACCACAATGGTTTATTTCGAAGTCGTGAAAAGACACTGTGTCAAATGCAAGGATTATTTACCATTGCAAGAATGAGGGAGCGTTGTCTTGCTGAAGGTGGCAACCTTGAGATAAAACAGTAAACCGAAGTTCCGCTTGCCTTTTGATGATTTATGCAAATGTTAATTATCCTGTTGTGCTATTTCAAAGAAAAAGCAGATGGGGGGCAGGGTACTCTCAATGTTTTCTTCAATATTTCATCCTCATTCTAATTCAATGAAACACATTATCTGTAGCCACTGAATTCATTACTGTTTCTGAGGATTTTGCTGGTGCTGATTAGCTCTTGTGTTTGCCTACATGAATCACCGCATTTCATTGTCAATTGCTTTGTTTGGCCTGTTGGGACATGATAGGGCATTATAGTTAGTATTTAAATTCTGTTCTTAGAATTCGAGTGGCAAAGGTGCACATCCTCCCAGAATGGGTTCTTCCATCGAGTGTGTCAGGAGTGCAGCTTAATTCACTGAACAGGCTCCACATGTTTGTCTCGGGCAAACCTCCTGCATGCCAGTTCAAACAAGCTCAGAGATGGTGGCAGAAATATCAGAAGGTTAGTGCCTATCTCCTTGCCTACAGGATTCAATTTCCCAAACAGTTATCTTCAAAGGAAATAAGATTTTCTAAAAGCGATGAGGCATATTACTCTATTATGACTGACTTAATCGAAGACTGTCATTGTAAACTGTCGAAGTGCAGAGCAGAATTCAGCTCGCTTGTGTATTTAACGTCAAACATCTGCACAAGCTTATTCTTCAAAGTTTGATCGTTTGCAATTGAAAGTTTACTGAAAGTGGATTTCTGCTTGAGTCGTTCTTTGATCAAGTGCTACTTTGGATAACAGATTAATTTCAATGAACATGAACGAATAATTGTGGACTTCTTATTTGTCTATGGAATGTATACAACATTTTTTTTTATTTCTAAGGCTTTTTACGCATTGAAAACCAGCATTGGAGATTTTGTTCAAACATGTACACATTGTATAAACTGAAGAGTTAGTTCTGATAACTTGCAGTACATGTAGCTTTTTCATACTTGTATTTTTCTTCATTTGCCTCTAGAGGAAGTTTCACTGTGCAAACCTGACTTGGTGGCCTCCGTGGGTGTATTCCCTATACGATGCAGTAAGTACAGTTCTTGAGTTTCTTATGAATTAAGATGAAATGTCAATGCTGAGGGAGGGGATATAATAATAATAATCCTTGCATTTGATGTAGCAACTTAAAGAGCGTCTTCGTGATGTCTCAAAGAGCTTCACGGAATATACTGTAAAGTGAATTGAGTGTATATTTTGTGAGCGAAACGCAGCAGCCAATTGCACACAGCAGCATCCTATAAACAATCGTGGATTAAGTGACCAATTTATTATTTTTTTAAAGGAATTATTACCCCCGGAAAAGTGATCCGCCGATCAACTAATAACTGGGTTCCTACTTACTGCTGGGTAAACAGAAGCATGTGGAGTAAGGAAACTTGCCCAACATTTCGCTCTGCCAGGAATCAAACCCAGATCTCTCGCTTGCAAGGCGAGTGCTCTAACCACTGGACTCCACTTACAGGATATGCTTGTTGGAGTGGTATAAAGTTGAAGGAGACTCATATCAGATCCAATAAAGCGAAATGACAATCTCTTTCCCATTGGTGCACGAGGAATGTGCTTCATGACAATCTTCAGCAAAAACATTCTTATTCCGCTCTTTTGATGGTTTCCAGTCTGAATGAGATTGCCAAACATTGGGGCATTCTGTAGGGTTATGCTGGATTAATTTAATTTAATAAAGAATATCAACACGGTTTGTTTGATTTACTATGAAAATATGTTTTGGGAGTTATTTCAATCTTACACTAAGGGGAATTCACGTCTCTGTTATTGTGGGTTTAATCACAGAAACATAGGATTATGCGCGAACACAAAACAGCATTACAGTCAATGACACCAATCCCAAAGTATTTTTTTAATCCACTGTACAGAATTTTTCAAATTTATTTCTCCATCTAGGAAATACTTATGGAAAGAATGAGGGCACAGCTGCGCGAGTGGGATGAAAATCTCAAGGATGATTCTCTCCCCTCAAATCCTGTAGGTAAGAGTTGCCTCAATGGTACATTTTCGCCTTGGCTAACTGTTACTACTCCTAAAATCCAGATGGAATGTATTTTACCTAAAGGTTATTTTGTAATCCAAAAGTACGGAAGTATCCGTACGTTAATGTACATTTTAAGTTATTCCCCTCATTGTTATACATTTATTTATCTTAACAACCACGGTGTTTTCAAAAAATTAGGTTAGATTAGTTTTGAGCAGTTGAATTATATTGAAATAGATAAATGGTTAGAAAATCTCAGAATATCTAAAGAATATTTAGTTTTGCCGTCAGAAACTCAAAAAGTTTGCCACATTCTTGAGCATAAACTTAATTATTGTGTTCAGATTTTTCTTACAGAGTTGCTGCTTGTTTGCCTATTGATGATGCCTTAAGACTAGAACTTCTAAAGATTAGTAGTGCAATTCAACGATTGCGTTGTGAACTTGATCTGATGGACAAAGTAAGTGCTGTAGAATTTGTTTCAATAACTTCATATTTTACTGTAATCAACCTTGCAACCTTGAAACGACAGTAGGAAGAGGGTTGAAAGGCAATTTTAGGACGGATGCCATAACATAGCTTGAGATAGGGAACCAACGACAGGAACCAGTTGTCAGGAAGCATGATACAGACCAGAATAATTTAAGAAGCAGCTTGGTGCTATAATGGGATAGTGATAAGATAGGTATTCTGGAAGGATGAGATCAAATGGGTTGATGGACCTTCTTCATCCACACCTATTTTATGATCATTAAACCAAGCAGTAAATTGTGCTGATTTTTATCAGCAACTTCAGCCAAGCAAGTCAAGATTATGACAACTCAGATCTAGTTTTTCTTAACTTTACTGGACCCAGTAATGAGATGTGAACCACGATACCCTTATAGGGTACCTTTTCGCTCATGCTGAAAACTGGTTAATTTGCTCCCGTCGCTTGTCTCTCTCCCGACAGGGCAAATATGTTGAAGTTCCTCAATTGTGGCTCGGTATTCACTGTGCTTGCCAAACACCACATCCTTCTGTTTGGAATCGCTTAATATTAAGAGGGAATGATTTAGTTTGGAATAGAAACAGTCTGACGACAGAAACACAAGACAGTGGTTATGATGTACTTCAGCTGTTATCTTTTTGCGCCTAGTTCTCATGTTATCGCTGCAGCGGTTAGAACATGTTCTAGGTGAGCTATTTTTAACGTGCACTACTGCCCTATGGAACTCGGCAGCTTACGCATCTCTCCTATGAGTCACCTGTGACTTAAACTCTGAGACGTGATGTTTTTAACAGACGGACGTGTTTTTGTGCACTTTGGCAAACATCCTCTGAAACCTTTACAAACCTTGTTAAGACAAATTAAGGAAAATAGAATTGTTTACAAGGCACCATTGAGTCCATGGTGTGTCTGTTGCTGCTCGCCCTTCTCTAGCTATTTACACTAATTCTGTTCCGTTGTTATTTATCCGTGCCCTTTAGTAAAATTTCACTCACTTATTTGTGTATCTTTGTTTTGAATGCCGTGATGGATTCAGCTTGATCAGCTGGGTTAAATTGTTCAAATAAATTGCTTTCAAGAGAATGACTTCCTAATGCTGAGTGCTTTACTCAAGTTACCATGGACACTGAATGAACACCAATTCCAGTGCAAGTTCCAGAGATCTCTGTTCACTGAGTGTGTGTGTATGTGTGTCTCTTCTCAACTACGAAGTGGCACTTAATAGAAGTCACTTAATTTATAATTTCTCTCAATTGTGGGTAATTTGCTTCTTCCTGTCTTCACTGCTTTTCTGTTCTGATTATTTACAGTGTACTTCTCTTTGTTGTAAAAGATGCCACAACACCGAAATAACCACCAAACATGACATTTTCAGGTGAGTTTCCCTTCTGATATACATAACTGATTGTGAAAAGATCCAGTAACATCCATATTGCAGGAAAGACGATAGTTTGTGGAATATTGAACGTTTGTGCGAAAGTTCAGCAGTCAAAGCATGTATATTATCTATATCTTTACATCTTTTGCAGTTTATCCTTATATGGACCTATGGCTGCATACGTGAACCCACATGGTTATGTACATGAAACTCTAACCGTATATAAAGCAAACAATCTGAACCTAATAGGTCGACCATCAACTCAACACAGCTGGTTTCCCGGGTAATGGTTTATTGAGCTTCACTTTGGTGTTCTTCCATTGTTAACTTTGTTAAAGCGAGGCCAGATTATTATTTCAATGCAGAAATAATTATCATGTTTGCCCTGCTTTTTTTTTCTCTCTAACCGATGTTAGCTCACTGTGGTATTGACGGTACTTTTCCACAAACGTTAATTGTGAATTGTTTTTTTTGCAGGTTTGCGTGGACAATAGCTCAGTGTCGAAACTGTGGTAGTCACATGGGCTGGAAGTTCACAGCCACGAAAAAAGAAATGTTGCCCCAGAAGTTCTGGGGATTGACACGATCAGCCCTGCAACCCAAGATGCCCGAGATTGACGACGGAGGTCATCAGGAAGGCTGGTGGCGGCCGTGTATGTAATGTGCTTCATGAAAAACAACACGAATAGTTACTGTAATTGCGTGTGCCAAATGATAAGAGCTGTAATTGTGCGTGTCACAGGACAACTATGAATTATTCAATGAATAATGTTGCCTTTCTTTCACAATCTGTGTGTGACCCACACAACTGAACCCTACAAAACACGGCGTTCAGATTAAACTGATGCTGATTTAGCACTGCAGTCTTGATATGCTTGCACCTCGTCTTCATCAAACAATACAACATTACGGTAATACTGCACAGCAGCTCACCAGATAAGGTGCAATAATTAAAAAACTGATTTTTTAAAAAAAAAACGTAGTTTTGAGATCTTCTGATATTAAGAAACACTATAATGTTTAATTTTTTTTCAGGCTTATCTGTGGGAGAGTCAGATGAAAGGTTTCAGTGCAGAAAGATAATCTTGCTAATCTCTTTAGCGTAGCTGGAAGTTGGAGGTACATTTTTATATTCAGTAGAACAACATACCGTTGATGTTTTTATTTAATTGTGTGACCTTTCAAACCTCCAGTGAGTTTGGGATTATTTATTTCAATAGAAATTAGTTGTAAAACTCCAGGATAATGTGCGACAGCATATTTATTCTTTGAGATTGTGCAAAAAAAAGAGAAAGATGTTTGATATGGTAAACTCCTGGTAACTTGTCAGTCCAAGAGAAACTGTCTTAGTGATGAGATATCAGGAGTGGCAAGTTAGTCATATGTATAATACATAAATAAATGCGGCCGGGATATTTAAAGCATGATGACTTAAGAGGTAGTGACAAGTTAAGATGGGGGCGAGTTATCAGCAGTTTAGTGTATTTATGTTTTAAAACCTTTTTTCGATCTTGCAAATGTATTTGATCTCCCATTCACGGTTCCATGTTGGCCACCACATTTCAGCCTCCCAAAAGGGGGGCCTTTCTCCTCTGCTCCTTTCTCCAGCTTCCTCACTGGGAGCATGGAGAATGTGGAAGGTGGAACTCAATGTTGAAAAGGTCACCCAGCACCCATCCTTTTCCCACAACATTATACGGTTCACTTTACAGTATATTCTGTGAAGCACTTTGAGACGTCTCAAAGTCATGATAAGGCGCTATGTCAAATGCAAGGATTATTATTATCCTTGGAAATGATGAGAGGACAATGGCCTATTATGGAGACCTGTCATTGTAATGAATAAAGAACATAAACGTCTGTTTGTTTACATGAGAAGCTGGGAGGCACTGTCCACAAAGGATCTAACTAACCTATTGGTTCTGTTCATTTTATATTTCGGAGTGGAAATCTGAAAATATCTTTTTTTTTTGAAAACAAAACACATTAGTGTTCTCGTATTTGAAACCATCGCTCGTTGTGGAAGACACTTTTTGCTTTTTGTTAAAAGTAACGCTGGGAGCTGCCCTGCAGTAAAATTACTGTAACAAATCATGCTTCGATTGTAGTACCATTCACCAATAAATCAACTATCTTAGTCTGTCAAGGCTGTGCTGCAAAATGATATATTGTTGTGAGCATATCAAAGTAGCAAGTGTATTCTAGAATTCAAAAAGCAGAATTTGCTAAAGTGTGTTAGTGATGTGCTTGACTTGCTGATAACGCACTGCAGTGCTGTTCTTCGTTTTTTTTCATTTGTGAGCAAATTACTATTAAATGGTGTTACAATGTGATCTATTTTTCATGGAGAATGGAATGTAAATAAATCAGATTTACCACTCGTTGGGTATTTGGGCATCAATTAGGTTGGAAAAAAAACGTCTTTAATTGTAAGTGCAGTACTCTTAAGAAAATGTGTTCTTTTCGGTGACATTGACTAAATGTACTGTTCGCAAAGCAAATAAAGAGGAAGTGCTATACAATTGAGCTAATATAAAAAAGAAAATTCTTGTGCACATTGTGTTTTAAGAACGAGTCCTCCTATTAAAACTGGATTTGCATGGAGGTCGATACATTCTGTTCAAAATCGATCTCTCCTTGATGAGTTTTATTAACCAAAGGCAGTAGTCTTCAGCTGTACACTCAGCCTAATACCTCCAACTCTTCTGTTTCTTGTTTATTTCTCTCTCATTTCTTCCACTCCCCCATCAGAAACAGATCTATCACCGTGGTCCTGTCCTCTTTTGGAAGTGGTCCTGTCCTTTGGACCACTTCCGAAACACTGCTACCTCTCTTCCTGCCTTCAATAGAGTCGCAAAATCTCTGCGTATGTCTTTGTTCAACACATTTAAATCTCTTATTTCCTTGCTACTCTTGGCAGGTATTTTGAGTTTTTATTAATAAGGACTGTTGTCTCAATTTTGTTTTTTTGGTCAGCCGGCTATCTGACATGCTGAAGAATATCCAAACCAAGATGAGATTTCCATGCATCCCACCGACACATGGAAATCCCAGATTGTTAGAATGTAATACGCATTCTCTGGAGGGACGCATCCTGCTTGCTTAATTACGGAAAGTATCAGGCGCGGGTTGGAAAAGAGCCAAGGCTAATGCAAGCTTGTCATTTCAACATTTAAATGTGTTGTGCTGTGTTTTCTCCATTTGCCACCTGAAGTCATGTGCAACTTCTAAATAAATGTCATGCTCTACAGAGTTACTATTTTAAAAAAAAGTTTAATAAGCAGAATCTGTGGAAACAAGCAGAAAGTAAACGCAAGAAATGCCTGTTGAAAATGTTCCCCTGTAAATGTTTAAGGGGTGAAAGCTGTATGTTTCAATTGATCCTTACAGGAAATGAAACAAGCTGAGGTTTTTGATGTGCAGGTGCTTGACTGAATCTGTTGATAGATTCAACAGACGCACAGCGACTACAAAGTGAATTAGCAATTAATCTGGCCTTCTGTAGAGGATTACTAAATAGGGATCAGAAGCTGATATGATCACATAGAAATACCTACTCTCATCTTAAGAGTCACTGAGGCCAATTGTCTAACCATAGTGAGACCGGATAAATGACAAATAACCAGGAATTAAATGGAGGATATCCTACAGTGTATAACTCAATCCCATGCAACACAATCCATTCATTCCTGAGATATTGAATAGTTATAAATTATTTCAATTATAACATTTTTGCTACAAAGCATTAATTCCTCTGGTTGTTGATTCAACACCAGCTTGCATTTATATAGTGCCTTTCAGCCAGGGTAATGTTTTGGAACATCTCACATCAATTTGGTGAACAATTTGGAACAATCTTGAACTCCAGTCATTGCATTAAAAAAAGAGATGCTCTTTTTAAAGCTAGACACCAAATGCTCTATACCTTGGCAAAGCTTACACAGACATTTCAAAATGTCACAGACAATCTTGCACAAACGTTTCAGAATGTTTATTGCTTGGATCAAATGAATGGATCAGAAATGGATTATATTAAAATAAAGACAGATGAGTTTTGTTACTTTATTCTCGGCACACACTTGGGTTTGGATCACATAGCTGCATTGTGAATGATTAAATGTGGGCTGGGTATTGATTGTTTCATATGAAACCTATCAATAACTCAGAACATTTTTTGAATTTGAGAATCGCAGTAAAAATATATACCTCATGGTCTTGGGAGCAAAGTAATATCCTTCTATGAAACAAAACCTCAACAGCAAAACGCACTTAAATAACACTTTTCATTAAGGAGAGAATCTCAAGAGCACTTTACATGGGGGTTTAACAACAACAACAAAATTACATTTGTAAAGCGCCTTTCACATCGGGAGGACTTCCCAAGGCGCTGAACAGTTGGGGATCAGGAACCGAGCGTGGTGGCGGTGGGGGCAGGGTTGGGATGAGGGAGGGCAGAGGGGTAGGAGGGCGGCTGAAGCCACGGTCAAAAAGGAGGGTCTTGAGTCATGCCTTGAAAGAGGCAAGAAAGGGAGCAAGGCGAAGGGATTGTGGGATGGAGCTCCAAAAATGGAGGGCAGAGAGGTTAAAAGCCCGGCTGTTGATGGTCGGGCGGGAGACCTGGAGCAGTCCAGAGCCTGCTGAGCGGAGGGAGCGGACAAGTTGATAGGGGGTCAGGAGGTCTGAGATGTAAGAGGGGACAAGATCGTGGAGGGTCTTGAAAGCGAGACCGAGTGAGTGAGGAGAAAGTGACCTGTTTTGAAGGTGAGGTGAGGAGTTTTGAAGGCAATATACAATTAGCTTTAACCACATCTAACAATGTTGCATACAAAAAGCACTATAGAAATCCAAGTTGTTGAGTTGAGATATAGTTTCAACTCTAGTGAAAGAAACCCACCAATCTTGCCAATATTTTTCTTGTTTTAGAAAAAAGCAAGGTGATTGAAAAGTTTTTTTTTAAATTGTTTTTCGTTCCTGGAAAGAACCGTAAAGTAACAGGACACGGAGCAAAGAAAATGATGTGCTTTAATAAAACATTGGTTTTCCAATTGCTAGAAAGAACGTCTCTTCTAACTCGTGCAGATAATTTGAATGTGTGGGTCCAATGCATCCAACACAGTGGAAGCAATATTCATGAGTTTAGACCCAAGGTTTTTTGAAGCCTATTATTAATGTTCCAGTTTGTATTTCGTTTGCTGGTGACACTCTATTCACAGATATACGACTCATGATCATTTCAATGGCAAAGCTGAAAAGTGGAGATAAACAAATCTTTATTACCAGACGACAGCTGTGCAAGTGAGTATTCTTTTATTGGTTTGATAGGAACTATTGCCACTTGCATCCCCGTTTACCCTGTCTCAGACCGACCACACTTGGACCCCTTTACTTATTTTACCCAGGTTTGGGTGGACGCAATATGGTGAGAGAGATAACAATGTTATTGTACAAGCAATATTTATTACACGTGAGGGAATAAGGAATGGGTGCAGACTCGTGGACTGTAAACACCAGCACAGACTAGTTTGGCTGAATAGCCTGTTTCCATGCTGTGAATTCTATGTAAGCAGTGGTGAACAAATCAGTTCCACAATAGCCTCAACCCAGCTTGCAGTATCATGACTAAAGAAACAATATAAAAGATAGTTTTTTAAGAAACATGCATTACAACTGTGGCTGAGAACATCCATATTTCGGTTCCTGTGAAGCAAATAGAAGAAGAGAGGACAAAGGGAGAGAGGCTGAGCTCAGAAAATCGAGCAGCGAGACAGACTGCATTACAGTTATATCTAGTGGTTTTTCAAACAAACCCCACTATCAATATATCTTGTGTGAAGTATTTTGAGATGTTTCAAATGTACTATAGTGCTAGGTTAAATCCTGGAGCGTTAAGTGCAGAATGATTAAGTGGTTGAAGGACATCAAGATGTACAATAGCATGATCACTGCTGCTGGTGTACAATACAAAATTACATTTGTATCGCGTCTTTCACGTCGGGAGGATGTCCCAAAGTGCTGGACAGTCAGGGATTGGACCTGAGCTGGGGGTTGGGATCAAGGATGGTAGGAGGGTGGGCGAAGGCATGGTCGAAAAGGAGGCTCTTGTGATGTGCCTTGAAGGAGGCGAGGGAGGGAGCGAGGTGAAGGGAATGCGGGATGGAGTTCCAAAGCGTGAGGGCAGAGATCTAGCACCATTTCTAAATCCTGGATGTATTAGATAACAAATATTAGGGTTCTGAATTTGGTATTCACAACAAGGATTCAGAGGCGTAAGCAACACTCCTGTGGGAAGCCGAATAGTTGTCATGGTTGATCCTTCTAAATGCTGATACAATGCACCCACAGAAGCTGATCATGTCAAAGTGTAGTTTGCATGAGTTAACATATCGCTATTTGTGATTCCTTGCGATGTCCACACTTTCAACCCCAAAATTGGTTAAATGTAAGTTACTGGCTGACGCATGAACCACTGGGAAAGAATGAAAGCAAACTTAAGAGGTTTGGGACTCTTGTCAAATAGCATCTTGAGACCAATTAGATGGTAAGTAAAAGGTCAGCGAATCAGTAAAAATCACAACCTCAGTTGTGTGGTCAGCTGGGTCAAGTATAAGCTGATTTCTGACTAAAAATAAAATGATTAGTGTAAGCAATACTGGGCATCCTTCAGTCTGTCGACCTTGCCCTTCACTGTCTCTCTTCCCAAATGTAAGTCTGCATTGATCAGTGGAGCACAATAACCTCCATGCAGAACGTGGTTGAAAATCAAATGTGTTTTCAGCCCATCCGAATGTTTGTTATGCATAGAAGACAGTCAGCAATGAATTTCTGGATCTTTTCAGTTCATGATGTCCTCCTTTTTGAGACGTCCTACCCACCTGAAAGGCACTATGTGCAAATGTCGATTTCCCTTGTATTTGTTAAAAGGCTTAAAAAATAGAACAGAGAAAAGGAAAGCTTTGAACTGTGCAAAACTAGCACTTTCTCTGTTAGCTGCNTTTTTTTGCACAGTTTACATTTCTGAACAAACAGTAAACTTAAACTTGAATACTTTACCTTCCCGGCCTTATTCTAATCCATTTTCCAGTATAGAGCAAAACAACATGAACAAATTACGTGAAGAAATGATAACCAACGGGTTTAATTCTGAAGACAACAAACTCCATAAGTTACAGTACATGAGGCATTGCACAAAAAAACAACCATAAATATAATGCTTTCAATTTTCTAAGAAAACATCTCTTGATATATATGATTTCACACGTCAAGTATTTGTATGCATAAATATGCAATACATGTTGGCAAGTAACTAGTGTTAAATCATTACAAGTGTTTAATTTCAGGTTTAAACTCCATGGAGGAGTCGTGTTGGTGTTGTACAAGCTGCTAAACTTATTGGTCTGACTTGCTGTGCGTTGATTAGAGTATTGTGTTTAAGCTTCACTTAATAGAAGATAAAATGTATTTCTGTGACCGGCTGTAAAAGATTGCAGGCGATTTAACTGTCAGACCCCGTACAGTTCAAAATCCACTTGTCACTTAGTTCAGTTTGCTTCTGTATGTTTATATTGTAATAGTCTGGTGTTATCTTTTTTAGCAGGATTCCTGAAAGATTTCTAAACCATATCAGTCCAGAGACAGGAATATCTGTCGTCCTAACCATTGGCGGATGGGCATTCAGCCTCTCTGCCTCCACCCTTTGGAACTCCATCTCACAGTCCCTCCGCCTCGCCCCCTCCCTTGCTTCCTTCAAGACCCATCTCAAGGCTCTCCTCTCCGACTATGCCTTCAGTCACCCTCTTACCCCTACCCTCCACCCCTCCTGGTGCCAACCACCAGCTCGGGTGCAAATCCCTGACTTTCCACACCCTTGAGACATCCTCCTGACGTGAAAGGCGCTGTGTAACTGTAATTTGTTGTTGTTATCCTGCAGCAGCCAAAAGGTTAATCTCAAGCTGCTATGGTGGGCTAATGGGAGTGTGTATAAAAAGAATCATTACAAAAAAATGCTTTTAGGAATGTTAGTAGGTTTTGAGCTTCTCATTTTGTGAAGACTTAATTAAAAGTACTTTCAGTGTTACATTTTCACCTTGGATCTTCCAGCGTGATTCACTTTCAGAGAATTTCCAGCCCAATTCCACTCAAAGCAGACAACCTCAAACGAAATGCTACTCTCCACACCTTTCCTTGTGACCTAGCAAATAGAAGTTTCATTAATTTAAAAAGGTTACGATTCTGGATTCACAAGAACTTCTTTGGGTCAGGTGGAGGGTGCTGATGAGAGAGGGTTCCTCGATTACATTATCTCCCCCGGATGGGTTTTTTCTGCAAAGTGTTTCCACCAGACCCTTGGGCATCTGACCGCTGAAGAACATGTAAATAAAGGGGTTGGCACAACTGTTCAGGCTGGCTAAAAGCATGAGGATAGTGAAGGTCGCGGCTGTAAAGAAAAATAAAAGCAAATCAAATGTCATCGACGATTCTGAAAATAAAATACACAAGATCAATCAGGGTTTATCACAATACACAACAGAAATTCTATTCCATTTAGATGATAATCCAGATTCATTTATATTGTGAAAGTACAGATATCACAGCACAAAAGGTGGGTCATTCAGCCCATGTTGTCTGTCCTGGTGCAAGCTTCCCCACTGGAGCTGTCTGCTCTAGTCCTCTTCCCCATCTCCTTATCTACACATAAGAACTGCTAGACGAAAAAAAGACCAAGGTCCATCTAGTTCGCCTTCTACCTGCACATATGTCCCGAACTACCTGTGTACCATATCCCATAATGTAATTCCATAAAAGAAAACTATCTAACCTGTGTTTGAAAGAATCAACATTTCCTGCTTCAACCGTCTCCCTCGGGAGCCTGTTCCATAGGTTCACTATTCGCTCACTGAAATAGTATTTCAGTAGATTTGTTCTGAATTTACTCCCCTGTAATCGCAGGCCGTATACACACTCTTGAATTATCTTTTTCTTCAAGTGTGCATTCAGTTTCCTTTTTTAATGATGAATGAATTCTTCAAAAGCCATTTGTGAGAAAGAATTCCACGTACTAACTACCTTCTGGGTAAAAACAAACTCTTCTAAACTGATGATTTTCAATTTATATCATCTTGTCATTGATTCACTGCTTAGTGGAAATAGTCCTTTCTATTTTACCCTTTGGAAAACATGCATGATTTTGAAAACTTCTGTTAAACATTAAATGTTTGTTTTAATTATTTAGAGTAAAGCAGCTCAGTACAATGAAACATGGCTTCTGTATAATGTGCTAATTGCAATCCCATTCATATAGCTTCAAATGTTGGGAAAGAGAGGTATATATTAATGTAAACAGATTATAAGTAGAGGTCAGTACCAATAATAATAATCCTTGCATTTGATATAGCACCCTATCACGTCGTTGAGACGTCTCAAAGCGCTTCACAGAACATATTGTAAAGTGGATTGATTGTGTATGTTGTGGGAGAAACACGGCAGCCAATTGCCCACAGCAGCGTCCCACAATCCGTTGTGGATTGAATGACCAAATTATTTATTTTGGAGGGAGTATTTTTACTCCCGTTAAGCGATCCGCCAATCGGCTAACAAAACAACTGAATGAGAAGGAAAATAGGGAAAAGGGAATGAGGAAGACAGAGAAGCAGGAATTGTACCAATTAATTGAACTCGTCTTACTTTCTCTTGGTGCTTTGGGGTCCCACACAGACCAGAGCTGCACAGTGAAGAACGGAGACCAACAGAGAATGTACACCAGCACGATCACCAAAGTCATCTTCACTGTCTTGATCCGAGCCTTGGATACACCGGCTACGCTACTTGCTCTCCAAGTCTTGAGCTCCTTCTTGCTCTCCCCACTCTGTTGGTGAGTCTTGCTGTACAGGTTCATCTGGATGGCTCTGCAGATCCTGACTTGGCACACGATCAGTGTCAGTGCGGGTACGACGAAAACCACCATCGATGTCCACGTCACGTAAGCCTTCAGCCCCCAGGGTTCAATAAAGTGAGCCCAGCATTCAAACACGCCGGGGTAGATCTCGGTTTTGGAGAAGATAAAGACCTGAGGGAGGCTGCCAATCAGAGAGATGCACCAGGCGATGCACACGGGTAAGTTCCAACGAGCCCGTTTTCTCTGGAAAGTGACCATTGGGTTGCAGATGGCTTGGTAGCGGTCAATGGTCATCACCACGATCATATAAGTCGAAGCCAGCATGCCGACAATCTGCAGGTACTTGACCAGCCTGCAGATCGCGTCCGGTCCCACAAACCTGTCTGTGATGTCCCAGAAGAGTTGGGGAAACACTTGGAATAGGGCAACCACTAGGTCTGCCAGGCAGAGGTGAATGACAAAGACATGCATCCGTGAGACTTGCTTGTGTCTTCTCCAAAGCAACAAGAGGAGAATGGAATTGGTGACCAGGGCCAAGGCGAAGATAGCGCCCAACACGGCTATTTCGATTTGGGCCAGCCAGTAATCTTTCTCGTTCGGTAAAGTCTCTTTTGAGCTGAAGTTAAAGTTTTTTGGAAAACCGTTGGCCATCGCGTCTGAAAAGCCGCTGTTGCTAAAGCTCCTCCACGTGGAGACATCACGCGAATGGTTTGTCATCTTGCCTTACCCTGCAGGCGAGTAACAACAATAACGACCATAAATTACACCTTATAGATAGCGTCTTTCATGTCGGGAGGACGTCCCAAGGCGCTGGTTTAACAATTTAGTGTTTAGTAACAATTTAGGATTCTATCAAACCTGTCCTACAAAAATAACAGAATTGGTTATTCGTTTAATACATAAATCTTAAACATAAGAATATAGAACATACGAACAGCAGAATTAGGAGCAGGAGTAGGCCATTCGGCCCCTCTAGCCTGTGCCCTGCCATTCAATAAGATCATGGCTGATCTATTCTAACTCCACCTACCCACCTTATCTCCCTTAATCCCTTTATCCACAAGAAATCTATCAATCTCAGTCTTGAATATGTTCAAGGACTGAGCATCTACAGCCCTTCGGGGTAGAGAATTCCATAAATTCACTACCCTCTGAGTGAAGACGTTTTTCCTCAATTCAGTGCGAAAGGACTTACCCCTAATTTTGAGACTGTGACCCCTGGTTATAGTTTCTCCAATCAGGGGAAAAAGTCTCCCACTATCTATTCTGTCGTGCCCCTTGATAATCTGATAGGTTTCTACAACACTAACGCTAACACTATCTAGTCTCTCCCCTTGTAAAAGATAATCTGCTCTACTGTTTTTGCCACCTAAGTGGAATGACTTCACACTTCCCTACATAATACTTCATCTGCCACCTATTTGCCCACTCCCCCAGCCTATCTATATCTTGTTGCATTTTTTTAATGTCATCCTTGGTGTTTACTCTCCTTCCTAGATTAGTGTCATCTGCCAATTTGGATATATTAAGTTTGATGTCCTCATCTAGATTGTAAATAGCTGAGGCCCAAGCACTGATCCTTGTGGCACTCCACTAGGCACATCCCACCAATCTGAGAAGGACCTGTTTATCCCTGCTCTTTTTTTCTTCCCGTTAGCCAATCTTCAATCCATGCTAATATATTCCCCTTAATTAACATTTTTAACACGTCTCAACAACATGATAAAGCACTATATCAAATACTAAGTTTATTATTATTATTTAGTGCAGCTAAACATAATAGGCATCTCAAAACACAGAGAAAATAATACTGATTGATATGAATAAGATATACCGGGTATTACCATCTAAATATTACCTTACTGTAATTTTCACCAATGCTGCCTTTGCCTTGCTAGTGTTTTGATTTGTGAGGTATCCCATCAATTTCTTAACACCAAAGGAAAGATAACCAAGTGGATTCTTTGCTGCATTCTTCAAGCCCAGAGCGAGAGCGAGAGAGAGAGAACGCTGCATCTCAAGAGTGGATTTATGTATCAGTGTGTGTTAGGAGGAGTTTCCTACTACAGGAGCACGTCACTGCTCATTCAGAATCCCCAGCGATGTTTTCATTTAACGAAGCAAGTAACCTATCCAGAAGCTGCAACCATTGCATCAAATAAAAGCCTTTCTCCAAATCCTCTGCAGAATGAATTCTACTTACATTTTGTACAGCCTTGTCGCATCCCAGGTCTCAAAGTAAGCACTCTCAAGTGTAGTGGGTTGTTTTTAATTAGCAAACATGGAAGGTTACAATTGCTTTCACTGGAAGAGGCAGAGTTACTTGGTTATCAAACATCAGATTTTATACAGTCAATCAATCCACTTGACAGATTATCCTGTGAAGCGCTTTGAGACGTCTCAACTACGTGATGAGGTGCTATATCAAATGCAAGAATTATTATTATTATTTTAGGATATAGGTCATGGCTTTGCTTTATTTTTTACCTTTCATTTGTAATTCACCTGTGAAGATAGCTGTGCCATAAACTCTCGGCGAGCAAAACCAGTTGGATCAGAGGCAGGAGTTTCCAAACACCTCTAAGAAGTCTGAGGGTTAAGGATTTCATGCTTCTTTGTTGTGTAAAAAAAAGCCTTGTGCAAAAATTAATATGAATATTGCCATTAATGTGTGCCTCACGAGTATGAAATCTAGTTCTACACGTGAGCAAATTGGTGATTAAAATATATACCTTCTATAATGCTGATTGCATTATGCTTTTCTCATTCTACTTGGAAACAAGGAAGGGTGAAATCATTAGCAGTCCTTGAGGTCACGCATAATTCACTCCGAATGACTAATACATCTTGTTTATTCACAAGAGAGATTGACTGGTGAAGATCAAGCTCTGTAATATGGAAATCTTGCCAAGAATATCAAGCATGTGCTATCCTTAATATTGTAATCCTTAGCACAATATAATCGCACATTGTATATTTCAAAAACCAAGGCAATTTTCTTTTCAGGGCCACTTCAGTTTACCCCCCCCCCCTATTTAAATAGTGAATAAATCGCACACTTCACTGATTAGAGAACCTCACGAAGGGCAAGAGGCCAGTTTTGCCGGTGCCAATCTCCACTGCACTGATCTCCGACAGAAGGCAACTTGTCTTAACGTCCTGGCCAACAATCCTCCATTTTAGTTGATAATTCACATCAGTTGTTCGGGGGACTTGTTCTGGCATAAATTGTAACCATATTATTCCTTCCCCCACCAAATAAAATCTACCCTCCTATTTTTAGTTTAGTGGTTAGAACGCTCGCCTCGCAGCGAGGACCTGGGTTTGATTCCTGGACAGGGCGAAACATTGGGTAAGTTTCCTTACTCCACCCCTGTATACCTCGCAGTAAGTAGGAAACCGGTTGTTAAGTCGGGGGCGGATTGCTTTTCCAGGGGTAATAATTCTTTCAAATCAATAGATTTTTAAAAAAATAATAATTTAGTCACTCAATCCATGACCGTTTGTGGGTCAATTATTATTGTATTTTGCTTTATTCAATGGATTCAAATCAGAATGCCGGTAACTAGATCACAATGCCTGAGAGAATAAAAGAGCACAACTCCATTCTCAGTCAATTTAAAAAGGCAAACGCAACAGCAATATTTCTGCCATGATCTGAACTCATTTAATCTTTGAAAGTTAAGGTAACAAAACAGTTAATTGGACAACTCACTGCAGTGATTGAATTTGTTTAGTTTTTGCACAGTTCATATTAAAAATTCCAACTGAATCAATCGCCCATTTCAGATCCAATTAAGATTCACATTAGAATTCAATCCAGTTTAACAAACCTATTGAACATGTTAAATAGCAATCCTGAAGACAGATAGTGGTATGCTTGCGCTAGAAATGCAAATAAACTTTAATTGTAGCCAGTTTGTCATCTTACTCATAAAACAAAGTTCTGAGATTGATGCTAAAACACAAACATTTTGCAACAATAAGAATGCGATATAAAATCCTCTGCCCTATTCCAAAGCTTAGACGTTTTATGAATTTTTTACATTGCTCAAAAGTTCTTCTTTATCCAACAGGTAGCAACTCTTTTTCCAAATGCTTCTGAGTTCCTGCAGTATTGTCCCAATCTCTTTTCCAGACGTAATTCCTATCTTCCGTAGGTCATGGCCACTCACTGGAAAGCGTGGTATGGACCATTCCTCCATATCCTTCAGTAGTTTCTCCTCGCCCTGGTATTTCAGCAGCTCACACATCTTTCCATGGGCATCTGGTTCCCTGAGCTGCAAGTAGAATAGGGGAAAACAATTACTAAACAAATATTAGCTAATACATCAGTTAATCACAGAATCTACACAATTTAATCCTTGCATTTGATATAGCGCTTTATCACATCTTCGAGACGTCTCAAAGCTCTTCACAGGATATACTGTAAAGTGCAGTGACTGTACATTTTGTGGGCAAAATGGACATTGGGTACAACTGTACGTGAGCAGATACATTATGCTAATTGGAAATCATTTCTGAAATGCTGTTTTTTCACAATGATGGCAGCAGATAACTTGACAATCTTTGCACCAATGAAGGAATTTTAGAAACTGCTTTTAAACAGAACTGTAATTTAACAGGTCTAATTTATGTTCGTTTACATAAAGCATTACAGCCCGAAAACAGGCCATTCTGTGTGTGCAATTGGTGTATCCTGGTATATTGCTCATGAGCCTTCATCCCTCTTAATCCTCTCTATTCTGTTTCCCTTCATTTATCTTTGATGTAAAATCCCTCAATTTATTAGTCAGAAGGCTGTTGCTCTTTTTTAAAACTGTTTTAGGATGTGGCAATTTGTTGGGATTTATCCCTAGCTGCCTCGAGATGATTGTGGTGAACCTCTTCTTTATGACACACAGACACACAAGCTGTACACATTGGAGACCTGTGCAATTATTACAGAAATCATTTCCACCTTCAATCCCGATTCTCATTCCTCTCTCTCTTGTTTGCAAATTGTATCAATGCTGTATACCTACAATGTCTCTCTCCTTTGAAAATGGTAACCTTCATGCACTTACATCTATAATGAAGTCTCTGTAGGGTTTTAATGGATCAGAACCATCAGCCTTCAACAAATCTCTCCTATACTTGACTAAAAATAAACCCAGCTGCTTTTCCTCTTTAGAAATCTTCAGCCTCAAGTCAAGCCTCAGGACATCGTCCTGCGTTCGAAAGAGTGCAGCAAGAACAGTCATTGGCTTCGGAGAGCGATGCTGGACATTTTTCCACACGCGTTTCAGTTCCTCAAGGCTGCCATCTACTGGTAATCCTGCAGGTAAAGCAAAGGCGAAGGCTGTACGTTATAGCTTTAAAACAACACGTTTCGAAAGATATTCCCAGATAACCTTTGCTTGGGGAATAACGTAATACACCACCAATGTTGCACATTTTTACAGTAACAGGTGGCATTTCGGTACAAATTAATCCAAGATTTAGATGCCTACCTATATATTGGGCTATTTCCAGTTCATACATAAGGCTGATGAGGTGTGCAGCATGGTTTCCAACAAGAAGCTTTTTCAGTTCAACCCAGATTCTCTCTCCAGAGATCCCAGCCAGACCCTTTGCATTCTTTTTGATCGATTTCAACGTACTTAAGTCGTGATCGCCTGGCTCTTCTGCAATTTTACCATAAAATCTACAAAACATAAGGTGGTCCTCGTCAAAAAAAAAAACGAATGCTGAACAAATTCAAAGTTGATCTTTTGTGTATCTTCTAGAATTTTAAGTTCTTTACCACTAAAACAAGGGAGAGATTAGGAGATTTTTCTTTCATAGGTTAACACATGGAGCCCTGGACCAGAACACAAAGGTTGAAGCAGAATTAAAATCCATAATAGCTCTCTCCGAGAGGCAGCACAATGTGCTGCATGTCCTTCCTCTGTGTTGAAAAAAGTCTGATTCTTTTATGCAGTAAGCCCTATAGTGACAATAGGTACTTGAAATGTGCAATGTTCCCAGCTGTCATTCCATCAAAAGGGAACCTTGGTGTTGGGAGTAAATACAAAGAAATACATATAATTAGTTCTGTGGTAAGGATCTGCAATTAATTTTTCCTTGAAATCTAATTTATAATGCTCCAAAGAGTTCTGTACATATCCACTTTTAATAGGACAGATCCACAAGGGCATTTTCTTACAAGTTTACCTGCTCCAAAAATTCAGAACAGTGGTTGTTAACCTTACAACAAATCAATAAACTATTCTTGCATCCCATTCACCCAATTCCTTGTAGAATATTGCCAACGTTTTTGGTTGGCCAACAAAATAATGATAAAATGCATCAATCCTCTAGAATAAAATCTTTCTATAAAATCACCATTACGCTGGCACCAGAGTAAAACTTCAACCAACCTGAAATAACGCATTATTCTTAAGTAATCTTCCTGTATCCTCTGTGTTGCATCTCCTACAAATCGAATCTTCTTCTTTTTCAGATCATCAAAACCATTGAAGTAATCGTAGAGTGTACCATCAAGACCTGGGTAAGAATTTGAAGCACAATCATTTTATGGAACCAAATTCAGATTTTGCCAAAAAAATTATACAACTTGTATAATAATGTTCTCTCTTGATGCACAAGAACAAATATTACATTATGAGGTACTACAAGAGTATGAGGTACAGACTCATGAAACAGAATTACCTAAGAACATAGAATTTACTGTTAGGTCTCTTCGTTCAGCATCTGTTTGCCAATCGGTTGTGAACTGAACTTCAGCATGTCTTCCATCTGTTGTAACATCAATCCTCAATGTAGTAATCTCAAAGTTCTGATCATGCACCTATAGAGCAAGTACAAAAAATATTTTTACATTCCGGAACAAGGAATACCGTACCTTTGTCAATTTCATCTGGACATTAAAGATCCTATGACGCTGCTCAAAAACGAAAAGCGAGTTCCTCCCGGTATCACTTCCTGGCTGTTTGTGGAACATTTTCATTTGTAGATGGGCTACCGTGTTTCCCTACAAATACAGTCACTATATTTTATAGTAAATCCTGTGAAGCGCTTTGAGATATCCTCCTGAAGTAAAAGCCGCTACAAATGCAAGAATTACTACAAAATTAGTGGCAATCTTTTGACGTCATTCAACCATGTTTGGTGAATAGAATGGAACGACATATGACATGAACTTAACAGGCCTCTTTGCAGACAGACTGTCTGGTCTTACCCTTGCAGTAATGGTGCCGTGCTTCTCTCCTTTGTTGTTGATCATCCGAATGCCAGCGGCTTGGAAGAGTTGCTTCATATGTTCAGGGGTAGCTGTGGTGGCAAAGTCCACATCGTCTGGCTGTTTCCCAGTTAGCAGATCCCGGACAGCACCCCCTGCTATTCTCAGCTCGTAGCTGTTTTCACTGAATAATTCTGCAAGAGAAAGATGGAAAAACTTCAGTCACCACTAATTCACATCACGGCTGTTTGTGGGACGATGCTGAGCACAGCGCTGGCTGCCGTCTTCACCTACACTATACAGCCAGCAACAAAAACAACTTGCACTTGTATTGCGGCCTTCGCGCTTGGTCGCGGCTCAGAGCGCGCACTCATTACTGTAAGGGTAAGACCAGACAGTTTGTCTGCAAAGAGGCCTGTTACGGTAAACAGGCGCGATTTCAAGGATTATCACAGGCACAGTAATGAAATGCAACAACTGTTATCACATCATAGCGAGTGGAGGAGCCGGCGCCTTCGTTCATTGTGTGGCCTCTTTTTGTGATTTAATTTCGATGATGGTGAATAAAGAGAAAAATCTCTATCTTACTGAGGGGGAGGGAATGAATTGTCTCTTTGAACTGCTCTGTCTGGCAATCATTTCCGCTGGTAATCCAGCAAGGACAACCCTACCCGTTCGGGCTTTGCCTTGCGGGGTTACAGGAGCTGTGCGGGAGGATCACATTACATGTAACATAGCGTCTTATCATTATCATCGAGACGTCTCAAAGAGCTTCAGAATATACTAACATTCAATAACGTATGAATAATAATTTGGTCACTCAATCCGCGACTGTTTGCGGGGCACGGGCTGTCGCGTTTCGACCACAAAACACACAGTCGCTACACTTTACAGTATATTACGACTGTTTGTGGGACGCCGCTGCGCAGAGTTACATACAGTCATTTCACTTGACGGTGCATTCTGTGAAGCGCTGTTGAGGACTCCAGGAGACGTGAAAGGCGCTATATCAAACGCGAGGATCATGATTTGTCATTACATTCCGTGAAGCGCTTTGAGGCGTCTCGGAGCCGCGACGAGGCACTGGGGCCAAGTGCAGAGATGGTGATGATGATTATTATTATTATTATTGTACCATACAGTGGAGTAAGTGCTGGGCATGTGCTCACTCACAGCCCCACCCCCCCCCCACACACACACACACACCCCTCACCATCACACACACCCCCCCCCCACACACACACACCCCTCACCATCACACCCCCCCCCCCACCGGCCCCTCTCACCTGCGATGCTCTTCAGGCCGTCGGTAAAGAGCGCCTGGAACTCCGACGACTTGAGCTGCATAGTGCTCACGGTGCGGCTCAGCGGCCCGCACAGGCCGCGGCTGGTCCCGCTCGAGCACAACAACGACAGCACGGGCCCCGCCGCAGCTCGGCCCCACATCAACGGACGGACGGTCTGACGGAGCTCACCGACACCGAGAGACACCTGCGGGAGGGAGGGCGGTGCTCGGTGACTGACTGACTGACTGACTGACAGAGAGAGAGAGAGAGAGGGAACACCGCGGCCCCGAAAACCTTCTCGCGCTTTCCAAACACTGCCACTGCGCGTGCGCGCGCGCGCGCGCCGGGAGCGTGAGACCGGCCAGGAGGGGGCGGGGTCTGAGCCCCCGCGCCTGCGCACACTGGCGGGTGACGGTTGGCAACGGAAAATTCAAAATTTCGTACCCGAACGGACGCTCTGTCCCGCACTGTCCGCACCGGCGCCGCCCGCCCGGCGTATCACGGTCGGGAGGGCCTCCCGGGGCGGTTGGGCGGTCAGGGGTTCGGACGCGGGCGGAGGGATTGGTTGGCGTACGGGATGGGTGGAAGGCGGCGGAGGAGGAGGAGGAGGAGAAGGGTGACCGAAGGCGCAGTCGAAGAGGAGGGTCTTGAGACGCCTTGAAGGAGGCGAGGGAGAAGGGGGGGCGAGGGAGAGGTGGGGGGGGGGGAGAGGGAGAGGTGGGGGGGGGCAAAGGAGAGGGGGGGGAGAGGTGGTGGGGGGCAAAGGTGGGGGGGCGAGGGAGAAGGGTTGGGGGTGAGGGAGAGGGGTGTGTGAGGGAGAGGGGGGCCGAGGGTGTGGGGGGTGCGAGGCAGAGGGAACATGGCCTGGAGGTCCAATGGGGGGGGGGAGAGGCTGAAGGCCTGACTGCCAATGGATGGGTGGATGGATGGGGATGGGGGTGGGGGGGGAGTTGGGGTGACCGGGCGCGGGGGCCGTGGAGCAGCCTGGAGTCCGCCGAGTGCGGAGGGAGCGGACAGGTGGATATTGTAGCACGAAATATTCCAACCCAACGCTCGCTCCCCCCAAAAAAAATAGCCCAGTGTTACGCGTCGCCTCCAAAGGACACCAGCGGAGTTGGCTCGTTTAGGTTAGTGCTCTCGAAATTGTGTGAGAAAAGGTCTTTCAACCTTTCGCAGGCTTTACATTTTTTTTTCTAGTTCTGCGTCCGTCGCAGAACGGATAACCTCCACGGGGTTTAACGGGTAATTGCGATACAGTGTGGTGACTGTATGCTTCGCAGGCAAAGGTGGTCCCTATTTTACGCACAGCCAGGTCCCACCGACAAGCCGGGTAATTAGTGACCGCTTCGCCAGGGGGAAAACGTTCCATATTTCTAGGAGGTCGTGGAAACGGAGGGGGTTTAACACCCCACCTGGATCGCAAGGCTGGCAGAATCTAATTTAATAACGTTCATTGAAAATTCATGCAAAGAACAACCTGCTGTTCTGCCAGCGCCTGGAACCGTGACCATCTTGATATGCGATTCCTCATGAAAACACCGACAGCAAAGATTACTTACAGCAAAATCAGAAATGTCCTGATAAATGGTGGCACAAGTATGAGGCACATTGGTTTTCCCAGCAGTTGAACAACTACTGTATTGTTGGCCCCTAATAAGTAATGCAGCGCTGCATTGCAATGATGCCCCCAATTATCCTTCCTCCCCCACATCCGGTCCCTCATCAGCACCGCTTTCTTCCACCTCCGACACATCGCCCATCTCCGCCAATACCTCTCTCCGAAAGCTGCTGAAACCCTGGTCCATGCCTTTGTCACTTCTCGGCTGGACTATACAAACTTGCCGGCCTCCACTCCACTCCCATCCATAAAATCCAGATTATACAAAACTCTGCCGCCCGCATTCTCACCCGCACCAAACTCCGCTCCCCAATTACCTCAGTCTTTGCCAGATTGCATTGGCTGCCTGACCCAGAGAGAATCGACTTCAAGATCCTCACCCTTCTCTTCACATCCCTCCACTCCTCTGCACCCCCTGACCTCTCTGACCTCTCTCCTCGTAACAGTGCCCGTTGCCTTCGTTCCTCCGGGTCTGGCCTCCTCCTTGTCCCCCGAGTCCTCCGCTCCACTCTCGGCGGCTGTGCCTTCAGCCACTACTTCCCGAGGCTCTGGAACTCCCTTCCTCACTCCCTTCGCCTCGCCCCCTCTCTTCCTATTTTCAGGTCTTCCTCCCCCTCCTCCTGGCTCAGCCGCAGGATCCGTTACTGTGAAGTGCTCTGAGATGTCATCTGGCGGGGAGGACGCTATATAAATCCAAGTTGTTGTTGTTGCTACGGTGCATGTGGCCAGAGCTGCAGTAATTGGGCCAGCTTTTTCTCCATTGATTGTCAGGTTCAAGCGCTCTGGGACGCTCCCCTGGGCGAGGGGTGCTATATAGATGAAAGCTGTTGTTGTTGTTCTGATCCGATCACAGATTGGGGTCCTGCTTTATTTAATTCTGACTGGTTTGAGCCATCAACAACAAGAGAAGTGCTTGGAATTCAAACTTTAGAACAGGTGCGTAACTGGCCGCAGAGTGTTACCTAAATTACTGACAGCAGCTTAGCGAGGGCTGAAGGACTGTCAGAGCAAGGCCAGACCTTGGCAGTGGAATTGGTATGCATATGGGTGAGAAAGGGAAAGGGTGGGTTGAGAGAAGGACAAGCAATATTGATAGGAGAATTGGGCTATCATTGAGTTGCAATTCACACAAGTGCCATCTGAGGGCGATGTGAAGACAGGAACCTTCAGTCCAATGAAAGATTCAGCTGCACATTTTAAAAATTATAGGTATTACAAAAAGTCGTGATAATTACCCTATTATCTAAAAAAAATCATAATTTCTTTAAGATTTATTATATATTGTGGTGGTATCACAACTTTTTGGTCACCCTGTACAATAGAAATCTTCCCAAGGCGGAATTAATCTTATACATTGATATAATACTGTAGTTAATATGTTCATCAAAACCTCTAAAATAGAGCACAATTTTAGATCTAAGAAAGACTAATCAGAATACATTCTTAATGAGGAAAGGTAGTTACATTTGCAGATGATGCCAAGTTGAGGGAACTGGAATCGGAGATGGTTACCTTAGCATAATTTAAAGTATTGTCCTGATTTTACCTTTTCTACCCAGGCACTTATTGGCACTGTTTCCAAAATCCATTTTTTAAACCAAGAACGAAAATCATCTCTTGCATTTTAAGTGGTGCTAATTGTCTGAATCTGAGCCCTGTGGGAAATCAACTGGAGTATTGGCTGCATGCTTAAAATTCTGGTTCTTTTATGAAATACAGTACATGGTATGTGGGAGTGATGATGACAATCCAAATAAGAGCAGATCATTGTGTGAGACGTTTTCATTGCTTCTGATTTCTTCGTAACTTTGTTGCAAGAAGTTTTGATAAAATTTCTTGAAAAAATGTATCTAGACATAAATGTTATCAAAGCAGCAGAGGAGCTTTGCAGCTGGCCAAGAAAAACAATGTCAATATAAAGGGCTTTTGTCATGAAATTCTGGCTTGCAAACCTGATGCTTTAAAATGTAAAGAAACTACTTGTACACACTCTCTCTCCCTGTGAAACTTACACTGTTGAAAGACTTCAAATATAGTACAAATGCAGTTTTTTCCATCTTGCATAGATCATCACTGCAAAGAATCACATAGGAGTCTATCATTTGACAATGAACAGCGACAATGATTTGCATTTATATAGCGTCCTTCACATAAGATAATGTCTCAATGTGCTTCACAGTGGCAGGCGGGGTGGATCCTGAGCAAGGGAGAAGGGAGATAATCATAGGTGCGGTCGAAGGGGCAGCTTTTCAGTTGAGAATTAAAGAAGGACATTACAAAAAATAGGGATTATTACTTGTTCTTGAATTTCTTATTTTTTAAACAACAAAATGATTTTATGATTGTATTTTTAAACCCAGCAGACATTTCAGGTTCCACGATCAGCCACAACCAAGTTTATCTGCAGAATTGTTGGCCAGGATGCCAGGAGAAATATCCTTCTCTTTCTGAAGAGTGTCATTGGATCTTTCATGTCCACCTGAAAGCAGGCAAAAGGGACCTTGGTATAACTTCTCACTGAAAGGATAGCACCAATGACAATAAACCCAGAATTTCTGACCAAGAAGTGAGAGTACTGCCAACTGAGCCAAGCTGAAATTAAGACACCCAGCAGTCTTGAAGATTTTTATGTTGCCAGCAGTCAGTGCACTATATAATTGCAATTTGGACTGTGCACTTTGTTTGATTAGATTTTTAAAGTGAATTATGGAAACACTTGCATAGTCAAAGATTTTGGTTGCTGTTGGCCTGAAGTGAGATCATTTGTTATTTTATAACTTGTACACATATATCTTGTACAGTTAACTTGTATTGCTTATTCTAATCTGCATGTTGTGGTGTTGCTATTGATCTGGTTCTTGGCTACAGCATGGAAGAAACGAGCATTTCAGATGAGTCCAATTCAGCGTTGCTGCTACCATAACAGCTGCTCTGTGGTAGCATCTTGTTATATGGGCTGCATCTGATGCTGCATGCAGGAACTTGTAAATGCTGGTATCCGACTTTCATGATAGCACGTCTTCCTTTGTATTTAAAGGAGATTTTTTTACAGAATTCAGAAGGAAAAGATCCAGCGCTTAACATTTTTGCCTTTGGCTATTCTTCCCTTGCTTTCACAGCCAAATTTGTGTATGCTGGTTGTATGTAGGTATGGCAGAAATCCGAGTACATTGATATTCAAATGTAGAAACATTGGCATTTATTCAGTGGCAGAACAATGCCATAAGACGGCCTGTTTTATAGTCCAGTGCACAAAATCGTTAAGTTAATGCTGATGGCAAATATAGAATTCAGCCCTGTGATTCACCAAACCGCATCAAACATGAACAATTCAGCTTTATCTCATCTTTATGTCACAGTCTCCTGAGGGACAATTTAAGCGGTGAATAATTAATTTTCTGACTTTGAACTTGCATTAGAATGAGCACAGAATTACTTTGTGCTGAACACATACAATTTCTGACTCACAGCAATTTCAAGCTGAGAAGATTAAGTACGATTCATGGATTTATTTGCAACTAAACATCGAGGAAATTAATTTGAAACTTTCCGTGGCAAAATCAAATAGAATTGCAGGAAATATGTAGCATCCTTTGGAAAGCAAGCATTCTGTCAAGTTATGCCAACGATCAGATGTAGCAATCTTCATGAACAACAACACAATGCATTTATATATCGCTTTTCACACCAGGATGACGTC